GACCAGCGTTACTAAAATGCAGGCGGAGTTCGGGAAGAGATTTCGTGAGAAATGAAGCCCTGCCTACTACTACTACAGTACTATAGTAACTACAACTACTTAAGGATCAAATCACTCGGACTGCCCCCGATCTCGCGAGATCTCGGGAAACTCTTCAGTACCCCGGAGCCTGGACAGCGCCTGGGTTGCCGAGCCGGCTGCGAAAAAAAAACTGTCAAGCGGTGGGTAGCAAACTCCAATGTTGTACTGCACTTATGCTTCTCCACAAGGGTCTCCGCTTTCAACCTCTTCGCCGAACCCACACTGACCAGCGCGGTGAAGCTTGGTCACGTAACCCACACGACCCCGACAGCGTAGCGTGACCCTCAATTGAAAGGGCTACGTCCTTAAATGCCCTTGTACCTAATTACATTGCAGGGGTAGTGAGAGATGGTTCGCGGCGTGTGGTCATTATCCAGCAGCGGACTGAACACGACCCCCACTGTAATATGTATCCAAGAAAGGGTCACGGAGTCTCGAGGCTCATTATTAGGAGCAGGAGACACGGTCCAGTATGGTAAGAGCAGCTCTTCGTCTCGTAGCTGGCGTGTGGTAGCCGGCGGTCAGAGACACGATCCTGGAATCTTTCGTTCATGACAAAAAAAGGCTTTCAAATTACGGTCAAGCGCGGTTTTCGAGTGAGTACGTAACATTGATTCGAGCGTGTGGGACTTCCCGTTGCAGTGACATCACGAGAGGGGCAATGACGAAGCGGCTCATTGTAACTTGAGACTTTGTTTGGATTATAGTTCACGAGAATGACTCGATAACACTGTGTGGCCGTAAAAAAGTATACAATAGGCGACGTTTCGGGCAATGACCCTTCACAGCACATGTGGCGAGTGGGCTCGTCAGGGTTAAGGGGCAGGCGTAATACTCGCGGCTGCTTAGTTGCGTAGGGTCAGTGAGAAGACTGGTGCTCGTGAGCCCATTGTGGGCCCTGAGGATACATCACCTTCTAGATTTGAAGTTTCTGTGACTGCAAGGATCCATACTCTTCGGTTCTTTCGGTAAAGACACGTAGCTGAAAATAGAAATACAATAAAAAAAAAATCACGACGTTTCGGGCGCAACACAAACGTTCGTCCTCAGGTGGGGACAACCACAGCGACAAAACAGTCGCGCAAGTATGTTTTGTCGCTGTGGTTGTGTTGCGCCCGAAACGTCGTGATTTATTTTATTTTTATTTTATTTTATTTTCACCTACGTGACTTTACCGAAAGAACCAAAGAGGATACATCACCTTGGCAGGCCACACTTTCAAGAGGGCAGAAGAGCTACGGACAAGATCTAGAGATGTAGCAAGATAAGAGAAACGTAGACGGAGATGTAGTGGAATGAGGGAATGGAAATTCGGACAAGATATAGATGAGTTGAAATTAATTGGATTTCTGAAGTGTTAAAACGGCTTGTTTACGCTTCATAGGATTCGAATTTAAGCTGAGATATATTCTTAGGTTTTTTCGGTAAAGTCACGTAGGTAAAAAATTAAAATTAATAAAAGTAAAATAAAAATAAAATAAAAATCACCACGTTTCGGAGGCAACGCAAGCTTCCGTCTTCAGGTGGAACCGTCACAGCACGATAGCTGTATTTTACTTTTATTAATAAAAAATTTTACCTACGTGACTTTACTGAAAAAATCTAGGAATATGAATCCTTGCAGTCACGAAAGCTTCAAATCTAGAATTAAGCTGATATGTTTTGATGCAGTCAGATAATCGCATGAATCCCGGGCCCCTTGCTTGGTTTGCTGATGCCCGGCACAACCACGGGCTGGTTGGTTCGTTGATTAGGGCCCTTGGTTAGTACTTCGTGGATTCTTGGCTATTTGTTCAGGATTAGTGAGAGAACTCACACTCGTCGCCGATTTACTATATGGCAGAGTTAGGGGGCGGTGGTAGGGCTAATACTAATACTCGTGGCTGGTTGGGTAGGTGGCTAGGGTTAGGGTAGAGCTGGCATGTGGTTGGCTGAGTTAATTCCAGTATAAATATTTTGAATTTCTGAACTCCTTCCCTTTAGTCTTTTCACCATCACCCATTCCTGATGCCAAACTAGCGTCGCCGTCTTGGGTTTGACTCGGACAGTCCGGGAATCGGCGCCTTGTGTTCGGCTGGCAGAACAAATTGGTTGGTACCGAGGTCTAGTACCGGTTGTGTTGCTGTGCTGATCTTTATTACGGGATGCTACACAGTTGTGAGAATAGATCAAGTGCCGACCGAACAAAAGATGTACGTGGAAAAAGTTGGCGAAACACCATTACCAAACGCTGCGGTGTTATTTACCTTGGTTGCTTCAGTTCTATTAGAAAAAGAAAATACACTTGTAACGTACCACGCAGTATTCGCTCACTTCTTGAAGAGGAAGGACGACTGAGGTACGATGAGTTGCCACAGACAAGTGGAAAGATAGCCAGGCGGGCAACCCGGCACCAGCGATTGCCCAAGCTCTACGATCCTCTGTATATAATATTTTCAGCCAATAAATTAGTGGATTTACTGTATATATAAATTTTTTTACCAAGTGAGGCCCACTGAGCTATATAGCTCTTTTTTAGAAGCGACTTGGCCACAAATGAGAGCTCAACGAAATGGCTTATCACGTGAACATTTATAACAACCACATTCTCTAAACGCATGTTTCTAAACGCATGTTTCTAAATGTAGAGGGGAAAAAAACTGGAGGACCCAGAGACAATTCCACTCGACCACGGGTAGAATATGTCACTCTAAATATATAGGCGTCAAGGTCGGGATCGAACACCGCGACCTCCTGTATACCAGGCGAGGTAGTTAACATTTCGTCACCGTGGCACCATATATGTGGGAGGAAAGCGGATCACACGCAGAGGCGGCAACACTCGATTGCGTGCTCATGAAACAGATGGAGATTAGTCCACACCTTGCTATACAGTAATCCCTCGCCACTTCGCGGTTCAAGTTTCGCGGCCTCGGTGCATCGTGGATTTTTAAAAAATATACATCGAAAAATTAAAATTTAAAAATACCGCCATATCGGCAGCCGTATTGCGGAAAGCAGCGTTGTTTCATCGTGATGCGCGAGAGAAACGATTTCCCAGGATGCCAGACAAAGAGAGAAACTCTCTCAGAGGCTTTGTACATACCCACGGGCACTCAGACAAGGCACGTGATTGGTTCCCGGCGCGAGATCGACGAATGAGAGCACGAGTGGATGTATCCCGTGCATTCTCCTGTCCAGTCCAGGGTTGATGACACCTCGTCGGCGACCACGGGAACGGAGTTTCGCGACTTCCGCGTGATCCACCAGCGGTGTTTTCAGACGGCTTCAGCTCGGGGCCACTTTAGCCAATAATTGTTGCGTGTTGCAATCCACCGGTGGATTGACATCTTAAAGGCCCTACCTGGATATGGATGCACGAGGCACTTGGGTGCCTGTGCCCGGAGAAGAGTAACGCACGTCAGGGGAAAGAAAAGCCAACTCGAGAATGTCACACACCATTCGACAGCAGCCTCTCCTGCTGCACGTGCTCTGCCACCTGCCGGCCGGCCCGTGGCCCTGGCAGCAACGCGGTTGAATGTTCGGGGAGACGTTGTCACGCACGGACCGCTGCGACGCCTCGTGGCAGTAATCGGGAGCACGTTGTCCCCGCGATTAATAACTAAAGGCTTACCTGTTATCGGCGGTTGCATATCTCCACAACAGCGGGCGGAGTTTGATTGACGTCGGTTGGCGTGGCTCTGCTATCTGCTTGGTGCGCGGGAGAAGGAACGCGTTGTCATCACTGAGCACGCGCATCGATCGGTCGCATCGTTGGCATTCGTTCTTGACGAAAGAGTAACAATCGAAGTGCTTCATTTCGAGCGATTTATCCGATCATTTTAAGTTGTGAGGTTTCAATTTACGAAACCGTGCGATGCCAGAGAAACGGAAGCGTATTGTTTTAACTTTAGATCATAAAACTGGATATTGTATCCGTAAATTGGCAGACGGCAGTTCCAATGTTCTTAACTTCAACGTAAACTACACCCATATCGGTGGCTTTTGGCATCGAGCTCCAAGGAAGTTTGTTTTAATTACACTGGTCAACACACTTTTTCTGGCATAAGGTATTCCAACGGTTTTAAGGTAATTTTTGGGTGCTGATTCCAAATCTGGCATCAGTTTCAAATATTGTATATTCAATAAAAACGGCAGAAGAAAAAAATTAAATAAATGTGGATATCTACATAAAATGATATTATAAACACACTATCCTAAAAAATACAGCACCATATTTTAACACTAAAGCAGTCACTGACTCGCAACAACTTGCAATCATAAGTGACAGAGTTAATTTCGGGTAAAATCAATGAAAATGGGGTATGCCGATAGCATAAAAATGATGTGGTAGAACAAATCTGAGATCAGATTTGGAATCAACACCCTGAAATTAGTCTAAAACAACTACAAAAGTCCAGGCCAGAAAAAAATGTATTTTTTTTGTTGACCAGTGATATTCGCGATTTTGGATATATCCGCGGGCGTCCTCCCCGTAATTAGCGCGCACAATCGCGAGTCCACCGTGTAACATTCAGTTGATGTTCTCATTTAAACCAGGTGATAACTCAAGATACCAGGACGAGTCTCATATGCGAGAGTGACCTTGGGGGCGATCGTCTGCAGGAGGGCGGCGGTGGTTGCTCCCTAGAAGCCCAACCGAGGAGCTCGCGGTGCAGCTTTAGAATTTGGCAAATTTGGACCCCGTGACGCCGGCGCCGCACACAGTGGCTCCCTGCTCTTGCGAATGACGTCAGGGGATTATTCTTCCTCCTCCTCGTCTTCCTCCTCTTCTTCCTCTTCTTCGTACGGCTGATGTTGGTGCATAGCAACAACTGCGCGTTTACACTGCGGTGGTTGAACCCGGATGATTGCGCCGGGAGTAGCGGCGCGGCGCAACGTGGCCGCGATGACGCCTCCCCTCCGTCCGCCGCGAGTGAATGAAGACGGCGCGTAACACTGCCGTGGCTTTTACACCAGCAGGATTAACCGGGGCGGCCGCCAGAGTAGAACCGCGAATCTACAACAAGCGGCGGCTGCACGACCGTTGGTCCCCGCGTCACCGCCGTGTGACAAAGAAGTTTCAACGTACACGCGTACACCATTGTATGCGCAGTGTATTGAAATGGGTTAAAATAGTGACTGTCACAACGGGAATTACCGTCGCCCACTAATAGTCGACGATTCCGACGGATATTTCCTCCAGATTTCGTTGACGCTATTAACATGACACATGTGCATCTGTCTCGTCGTGCCATCGATCAGCTCTGTAAATAATGGGAATCCCCCCCCCCCCCCCAGAATCACAGTGCAGACTAGAAAACCAAAATAATATGGTTCCCATAAACAATACTTTCTATCAAGTGAGCCTTGGTGACTATAACTGTACCGATGAGTCCCAATAAAAACGAAGCCGGTCCACAGTTTGTCGATCTCTGCGTCACTGCTGCCTGTCAGGCGGTAACACGTTTACTCGAATTTATTTATTTTGATGGTGACCTCGAGCACAAGAGAGGGCCCCACGATGAGGTTAGTTCTACAGGAACTGCCGGTGGTTGTTGTTGTTGCTGCTGCTACTGCTGCTACTGCTGCTACTGCTGCATGATGCACAAATGCTGTGGTCCGGTCGCTGTTCTGCGCCAGGTGACGGGGATCTTGCCCGAATGCTGAATTCCTCGTGGAGCTCAAGAAGCGGGAGAACGAGTGCGCGGAGCGCGTGGGCCACGAGATCAACGCGTCCGTCGCTCGTGGCCTCTACCTGCCCGGTACCGTGGTGACCCCCCGCTCCCCCCACCACCACAAAGAAGAGAGATCCCCCCCACGTAGCCTTAACAGACTGTCGGGGCAAGTGCTGTGAGCGAGCATCGCCTACGAAGGCTCGAACGGCACACGAGGGGGTTGGGTGGCCAGTGCCACGCCCGACCTCCTTCGATCTCCCCGCCGGTGGCGATGTTCACACGCCTCACCAGGCATTCATTTGAGGCTGAGTCGATCTAGAGGAGGCCCGGGACCGGTTCAGATTAATTATCGTCAGTGGTGTTGGCCGTGAGCGGGAATCGAACTCGGTTCGCGGGGTCCGGGGCGCGGCGCTGCTAACCCCTACACCACCGCTCCTCCGTGACCCCCTCCCTCCTCCCTATACCCACGTGACTAAAGCCCCCCCCCCACCCCAGATCCACGTACACGCAACGTGGCTTTAGGGGCCTTCAGCACTGAGCCAGCGACGGTAACGACGGAGTCCTTGGCTTCGAGTCTCGGTGATAAAGGAGTGGGTGGGGGTGGGGCAGGTGGGGGGGTGAAAACGATAACAGCCCCCCCCCTCAAACTCAGTCTGGCTCTGAGCCACGCGCACACAAAGACGTGTGGAGGGGCACGACTGGGACAGTCAATCAGTTGATTCGTCAATTGAAAATTATTATCGGCTTACGTGTTCTGGAGGATTGCTTTGGGCCCCGTTAAAATAAGAAAAAAAAAGATTAATATTTTTTTACTTTACCAAGTAAGGCCCACTGAGCTATGTAGCTCTTTTTTCAGAAGCGACCTGGCCACAAGTGATCGCACAACGAAGTGGCTTATCGTGTGGACATTTATAGCAGCCAAATACTCTAAATGTGGAGGGAAAAACCAGGTGACCCGAAGAAAAATCCACGCGTCCACGGGGAGAGAGACACGCAAACTACAAATATACAGCAGGCGTCAGGGTTTGAACCCACGACCTCCTGCATGCCAGGCAAGGGAGTTGACATCTCGCCACCAGCAGTCCAAAAATCCTGCCGCCCCAAGGTGGGAACCCCCCGCCCCCCGACAAACAACCTAAAACTCTCTCTCTGAAGCCGGACTCATCCATTGCCGGAGGAGTTGGCGTCAACACCCCCTCCGTAGCTCCCGCCACTGGAGGCCCTTCCGCCAGCGAGTGGAGTGAGCAAGACGACACGGCAGCGCTGCGCTTGTACCCTGCGCCGAATTGAAAGACCCTCCTAGGAAGTCCGTACTCCTGCAGTTCTCAGGTGTCGGCCTCCAGAGGCCATTCTCTAGCACGTGGTGGGTCGGGGGTAATGTTGTTGTTGTTTACGAGCGAGTTGAAGGTCTGGGGTGAGTTCCGATGCCGTCGGCACAATCGGATCGCAAACGCGTCACACGAAACGAAAAGTAAAAGTTGCTGTGTCCGTGCATTTGTTCGTGTGTGCGCGCGTGTGCGTGCGTGTGCGTGTGTGCGTGCGCGTGTGTGTGTGCGTGCGTGTGTGCTGTGTGTGCGTGTGTGCGTGTGTGTGCGTGTGTGCGTGTGCGTGCGCGCGTGCGCGTGTGCGTGTGTGTGTGTGTGCGTGTGCGCGTGTGTGTGTGCGTGTGTGCATGTGTGGCGTGTGTGCGTGCGTGTGCGCGCGTGTGTGTGTGCGTGTGTGCGTGTGTGCGTGTGCGTGCGCGTGTGTGTGTGCGTGTGTGTGTGTGCGCGTGTGCGTGCGTGTGCGTGTGTGCGTGCGTGTGCGTGCGTGTGTGCGCGTGTGCGTTTGTGCGTGTGCGTGTGCGTGTGTGCGTGTGTGCGCGTGTGCGTGTGCGCGTGTGCGTGTGTGCGTGTGTGCGCGTGTGTGTGCGTGTGCGTGTGTGTGCGTGTGTGCGTGTGTGCATGTGTGCGTGTGCGTGCGTGTGTGCGTGTGTGCGCGTGTGTGTGTGCGTGTGTGCGTGCGTGTGCGCGTGTGTGTGTGTGCGTGTGCGCGTGTGCGTGTGTGCGTGCGCGCGCCTCGTGCCAGGCTGCCCCGGCATGTGGGACAACCTGTCGTGCTGGCCGGCGGCTGCCCACGGAGACGTGCGCTCCGTGCCCTGCCCGGACTTCATCGCTCTCTTCAAGAAACGAGGTGCACGCTCGCGGTCGCTGGCAGCGGCGCGCCTGAAGACGCGCGCCATCAACACCGGCTATTTAGCCATCGACGACTGTTTCGCGATGGGCATCGGTTGTTCGGGTGGCAGCAGGAATGGATTCGTGCCGGTGACTTGGTGCCGGCCGGCGTTGCTGTGCGGAGCTTCGTTACAGGAGATGACAGGCCGAGCGGTGGCTGAGAAACGCGTCCGGGTTTTGCTCTCCAGTTCGAAAAGGTGGCGACCCTCCAATAGCTGAGACCCCAAAGGCTGCAGCATGAAATACCTTCCAGGTTGGCGGTGGCTATGCTGCGTGTCGCCTGTAATCCAGCGCTGGAGGCGGGGGGGGGGGGTAGCGTGGATCACGGCACAAATGTTGTGAAACTCCATTCCCGTTGGGCGTCGATGAGGAGCCGTACCTCGGCTTTCCAGGAGAAGGCAGCACATTAAAATGTGGACTCCACCTGTTTCATCAGTATGGGATAGAGTGTTGCTTCCTCGCATGCGTGGGGTTTCTTCACACATGTAAACACCTCAGTAAGTGGCCGATGGCACCTTAAGGGGCCGTCCATAAATGATGTCACGCACCTGGGGGGGGGGGGGGGGGTCAGACATTTGTAACGATGTGTGACGAGAGGGGGGGGGGTTGAGAAATGTGACGTCACATCAAAATGCGCAACTTTAAATAAATATAGACAACACGTTCTACTTAATTAAATTGACTTTTCAATAAATGTTTTCTCCTACAACATCAGATTGCAGCACCACATTAAATATGCACTACAATAATTTAAAGCGATTTGAAGTATGTTTTATTTTTGGGGGGGGGGGGCAGAGCTTTGTGACGTCATATTTGAGGGGGGGGGGGTCTGACTTTTTGTGACGCCGTGTGACGAGGAGGGGGGTGGTCAAAAATCGTCCAAAATCGCGTGACGTCATTTATGGACGGCCCCTAATACATAGAGAACCGCAGAGCTTGCACAATCTGCTGGTGCCGGCTCACCGCGTGGCTGCTTTCCTGCTTGTCTTTGGTTCCTCGTGCCTCGCTTAACAGCACTTGCCCCTGGCGGTCTGTTCAAGGCTACGTGTTTTCACGCGTGTGCTCATCCAGGCGTGGTGTACCGGAACTGCACGCTCATCGGCTGGACCGACCCCTACCCCAAATACGACGAGGCCTGCGGCTTGGACGACGTCAACGAAAATGAGACGGACGAGAGGGTGAGGGAGCCGTCTACCGACCACCACGCCCCAACCCCGTCTTCCCCCGCCGGACAGTCGGCATCCGAAAACTGGCCCGGCCTTTCTCGTTGGCTGGGCTTGACCCAACATGAGCGAGTTTGGGCTGCGTGGGCGTGTGCGGCCGTTTCGTTTCGTATTCTCATCATATGGGGCTCACTGATTAACCCCTTTCGTTCAATCCGTTCATCATCATTTACTGTCATCGATTTCGCTTTCACCGAATTGACGCATCGCAGATTTGCCCCCCCCCCCCCCCCCCCCCCATTGCTTACACTCATCCATTTCACTCACCTCATCTCCACCCTTACACTCATACGTTCTACCGTTGTTAATGCTCTGTCATGATAAGATTTCGCGCGGCCTTGCTTCAAATTCACATCTCAACTTTATTCGGCTGTCGCGCGTCACAGAAATGTGAATGACATCCGGACTTTCCGCCCCACGTGCTGCTGGGACCTTTTTCAACGAAACGACAGAATTTAGGAACGATTCAGTTCCTGAGCAAGCTGCCAGCACGTGGAGGCGAAACGTCGGGCACCGTGCCGAACAGCACGTGGCACAATCCGACAGCACATCTGAGAGTGTGTTTGGGGGAGCGGTGGCACAGTGGTTTGCTCGCTGCGCTACAAACCCGGTGACCAAAAGTCAATTCCCACATGACCAATCAACAGTGGCAAATATTTTAACTGGTCCTGGGCCTCTCCTATGTCGACTCAGCCTTAAATGAGTACCTGGTGCAGTGTATAAACGTCAGCATTGGGGAGACAAATGCTGCCTGGCAAGGTGCTGGCCACCCACTGACTTGTGTGCCGTGGCGGCCTTCATAAGCGCTCACGAAACAGCACTTTGAGCGCAACAGTCTGTTCAAAGCTACACGGGGGAATCTGTGCCTTTGTGTGCGTGTGCAGTCGTACTACAGGACGGTGAAGATCACGTACACGGTCGGGTACAGCACGTCGCTCATCGCTCTCACCGCCGCAATGCTCATCCTCTGCCTCTTCCGGTGCGAGGCCGATGGCACGAAACACGCGGACGCGCGGACACGCGTGGGTGGGTCCGTCCCGTGACCTCCCGGGGGGGGGGGGCCCTGCCGGCCGAGCGCTCGGTCACGCCGCGTGGCCTCGGAAGCGCACCTAGCCCGGCACGAGCACTGCGGTTGTCGGAACGGCGCCACTGATTGGCCAACGGCGGGCGCTGTTTGCCGTGATCGTTGTTGACGCGTGGCGACGGGACGCGCGGTTTGTTCGGTGGCTGCGACTGGTCGCGTATGGGGGGGGGGGGGGCAGTGTGGGCCAGCCCCACTGGCCCCAGGAGTGCCGTAGCCAGCGCCTGCACACCGAGTGCCGGATGGAGCTAGTGCGGGGCCTGTAGCTTATGTTACAAAGGGGCCCTAACAAAACACATACATATAAAAAAAAATTACCTGCAGAGTAAATTTATTATATTTTTTCATTTGCTATATTTTCAGATAATACGATAAATCGCTAACCTGGAACACCCAGTCGTTCATAAAAATTGAAGGCGGTATAGTACTATAGTAATAAAGCAAGTGCAGAACCACTGAACCGGAATTGATATCTTGAAGGCATTTAGCGCGGGGCCCTTGAAAGTGCGGGGCCCGTAGCATATGTAGCTACTTGTGCTACTGGGATCATCCGGCACTGTGAACACCCGATAGCTAGTTTTATCGAACACTTGAGTGAGTTGTGATGGTTCAGATTTATCGAACACTTGAGTTGTATGTTTTTTTTTAACGTGTTATATTAAAATTCGCGATCATTCAATGTGTGACGAAGATGATGATGCGATGTGTGATAACGCAAGGGTTGCCACCTGTGGTGCGGGTGTCAGCTGGTGCAGTCCGGGAATCGGCGTATGTGTTCAGGTGGCAGTAGGAATTGATGTGTACCGAGATCTGGTACCGGTGTAGCTGCTGCGAGGAAATTCGTTGCATCAGTGTACCGTACGCTCCTGATAATTATAGACCCAGTGCGGGCTGGGGAATCTGTCCAGCTTTTGGTCGACAGCGGAAAAGGTGGCGACACTAGATGACACGTGTGTGTGCGTGACGACGTGTGGTGCCCGTCTCTACAGGAAGCTGCACTGCACGCGCAACTACATCCACATGCACCTCTTCATGTCGTTCATCCTCCGCGCCATCTCCGTGTTCATCAAGGACGCCGTGCTCTTCCCCGAGAACGAGAGCAGCCGCTGCTCCACCGCCGGGGTATGCGCACACGCACGCGTAGACACGCACACGTAGACACGCATACTCGTGACAAACAGCAAAGCCCGCTGTCGACGCCTGATGGTGCCGGATGTAATCTCCGACGACAGAAACCTCGTCTGAAAATCGCCAAAAAGGTTCCCTCGTTTTGAAAGTCCCTCCGGTTTTTCATGATGAAAAAACCCAAATCATTTGGCGCATTTGCTCACGACGTGGAAACTTCATCTGATTGGCTCTGTCGGGTGGCAGAGGGTACAGCTGCATATTGGAATGGCACCTTACGTGATGATTTCAGCCAAAAAGGGACGAACAATTGTTAATAATTATTGATGATTATTAACAATTTTACAGTTACCGTAATTAATAATAATTAACAATTGGGTTTTCACCGCCAACGTCGTGCGTTTTTTTTGTGTCATGATCGCCGACCAGATCTGTGTCACTGGAAGCCCTCCACCACCTGACGCGGCAAAACGAATCAAATTGTTGCGCGTGCAGCACGACGAGAGTTTGTCAGCTCCCATCGTCTCGAGCTCACTCACCGGGGGAGCGGGAGAATAATTCTCGCGACCAAAATGTTTGCAGCGGATTTACATTTACTTAGTTAATCCTCTTCATCCCCGTGTGGGACGCAAGGCCGCCATGACTCCCTCCACGTCTCCTTTCCTGTCCTCGGCAACGTGTTGGGACTCGCCGCGAGAGAGTTTGGTCGCTGCAACCAGCTCGTTCTTCACGGCCTTGCACCACGTGGTCTTGGGTCTCCCAGGTTTCCTGTTTGCTCGGTGCTGTCCATCTCAGCAACAATTATATATGACCTTATCGAGGATTTTATAGAGTGCTTTAGTCGAAGCGCTTTACAGGAATTATTAATGATACGTTTGTTATTGGGTGATGGGGAAAAGGGGGATGGGGTTTGAGTGTTGGGGAGGGGAAGGAATGGAAAGGGAGGGTGATGGTGGGGAAAGGGAGGTGAGGTGAGGAAGGGGAAGGGGGAGGATGGTTAAGGTTTTAAGGATGCGGACAGGAAGAAGTAGAGGGGTACGCTATTGAGACCACGTTAAACTTCATCAGGACGAGAAAGTTGCAAGTCAGAACAACAGTCCAGGAAGTCGGAATCGAGGGATGGCGATATCACCACAGTGCCTGGTCACGTGAGCGATGCGTGAGTTGTGTTGGTGACGGCGTGTGTTGTGGTGATGGAGGAGCAGTTATATTGGTGATGAGTTGTGTTGTGCTGGTAACCGTATTTTACGTGTCTGGCCAGGATGAAGATGAGTACTTCGATGACATGGAGAACATGAAGGTGATTGCGTGTTATAGAACCCGCAGCCCCACGCACAACCCACACGAATACACCTGCACGTGTGCGCACACCTCCCACTCATCATCATCATCCCTGTACACACCTACACATGCCAACATGTACCACTATAAGACAAAAAAAACCCAGTATAGACTTTTACAGACTGTTGGGGCAAGTGCTGTTAGCGAGCACCTACGAAGGCCGGCATGACACACGTGGTCAGCATCACGCCCCGCCACTTTTGTTCACACACCGCACCACGTACTCATTTAAGGTTGAGTCGACCTAGGGGAGGCCCAGGACCGGTTCAGATAATCGTCACGGATGGTTGGCCGTGAGCGTGGTTAAGGAACGAGCAACTCAACCTCCCCCCCAGCCCCCCAGCCCCCCAGCCCCCCCGTAACACGAACGACGATTCTGTCCCCCGGCCCGTGTGCGTGCGAGCGCAGCTGGGCTGCCAGCTCACCATGGTGTTCTTCCAGTACTGCATCATGGCCAACTACAGCTGGCTGCTGGTGGAGGGCCTCTACCTGCACACCCTGCTCCTCATCTCCTTCTTCTCCGAGAGGAAGTACTTCTGCTGCTACATCCTCATCGGCTGGGGTGAGCGAGCGGTGGCCAGCATTAGCCCCGCAGCGGGCCCGCGCGCTTTCGGGTCGATTCCGCGTCACCGGGGCGAGGACTTATCATAATAATAATTAAAAACTCCTATCCAGGGGCCTACCCTGGCTCCTCCCCCCTCAACCAGTATATATACAAGGTCGGATCTCTTGGAATTTCTCATTTACTTGAGACAGCAAGCGTGCTGTGACGGTTCCACCTGAAGACGGAAGCTTGTGTTGCCTCCGAAACGTCGTGATTTTTATTTTACTTTTATTAATTTAAAATTTTTACCTACGTGACTTTACCGAAAACCTAAGAATATGACTCCAGGGGGACCAGGATCGGGTGTCTCGTCGGCAAGAGTGACCTGGCCGTGGTGGTTGTGCGTGCGCGGCTCGCTAAAACGAACATCAGAGGCAGCTGGCTCTGGCTGCCACTGCGACCGCCCGTTGTATTGGCCCAAGCGCTAAACCTCTGCTGCCGACTCCCCCACCTCACTCTCTCTCTCTCTGTCGGGGATCTTCTCTGATTGGGCGCATTGACGTCTCTAATCGAGCCTTGCGCTTGCTAGTTTGCTTTTTTTTTGCGGTGGCGGCGGCTCTTGTCCCAGTCTCCCTTGTTCCAGCCACGCGTCGTTCCGTCTGTCGTGGGTCCTGCTCGCGCTCTCGCCCCTCGCCACGCGTACCAGGAGGAGCTGCGGCGCCCACCGCTGCTTCGTCCTCATCCCATTGCCCACGTGTTTTTTTGTTTACTCGATTGAGCATGATGAGCTGAGCCTTCGGATTGGGGGGGGGGGGTTCAGCCTCTTCCAGCCCCCCTCCCCACAACGCTACAGGGGCTGCCTTGTGACCTGCCAATTCAACAATTCCACTTTTGGTTGAAATTCAATTCCAGAATCGCACAGTGAGTGTAGTATTTGGGCAGAGGCCGATCGGAAAACTTCCCATGGGGGAGCGGTCTTGAAATGTCAAGCTTTTTAAACATGGCTCCAGCTTACTAAAGAGACTTTCAATGTAATTTCTCTGATAAACATCAATGACGTATAAATGTTCGCGGACGCAAGTGGGGGGGGGGGGGGGGTGGATATCACCCCCACATCGCCCCCCCCACCCTACCTCCCCCCGCACCACATGGATCCGCCACTGACCCGCGGCGTGTGATGTCGTCAGCGAGCCGAGTGGGTGTCTTGCAGGAGCCCCCGCGATCTTCATCGTGCCCTGGGCCCTGTCGCGCTGGATCTACGAGAACACTGGGTGAGCGCTGCCTTCACCTTCTCCTCCCGCCACTCCACAGACCCTCCCCTCGACCTCCCCCCTCGACCCCCCCCCTCGACCCCCCTCGTCGACCCCCTCCTCGACCCCCCCCCTCGACCCTCCCCCTCGACCCTCCCCCTCGACCCCCCCCTCGACCCCCCCCTCGACCCCCCTCCTCGACCACCCCCCCCTCCAAAGGCAGCCGTGATTCCCAAGACGCTGATATTGTAGTCGCCACCTCTGCTGTATGAATATTATTTTGACTATTAACTATTATTGTTTTATATTCTTGGTTCTTTCGGTAAAGTCATGTAAAGGGAAATAATAAAATAATGCTAAACAAAACAAAATATTATTTTATTATTATTTCTCTTCTACGTGACTTTACCGAAAGAACCAAGAATATGAATCCCTGCAGTCACGGAAGCTTTAAACTATTATTATTTTAACCAGGTAAGTCCCACTGAGCTATGTAGCTGTTTTTGAGGAGCGACCTGGCCACGAATGATAGTCCAACGAAGTGGCTTATCATCCACATACTCAAAACGAGTGTTTCTAAATGTGAGGGGGTGGGGGGGGGGGGGGAACCAGAGGTTCCAGAGAAGAATCCACAGGACCGCGGGGAGAGAGACACACAAACTCCGAATATACAGCAGGCATCACCATGGTCGGGATCGAACCTACGGCCTCCTGCATACCAGACGAGGGAGTTAACATCTCGTCATCATGGCGCCCTGGCTGGCTGGGCTCCTCATGCCGTTATTATACAACTGACAAATCAATTACACGTGGGTTAGAGAATGCCAGTGCGGATTAATGACGTCATTCAATGTATTGTCCCTGATTAGCACAGGTGGCTGCATACGGCGCGAGAGAAGTCCCAACACTCAAGACACATACGCTCAAGCGATTAGCGCAAGCGAGTGGGCCTGGGCGGGACGCGGTCAAGAATAGTAACGGAGTGGCAGCCGAGGAGTCGAGCGCGTCCGAGAGGGCGTCCGTTGAAGAGACGTAGCGGTGAGATTGGTTCGTGCGCGGATGCGCCGGGGTGGATTGTTGCGTCGAAGGGTCGCAAGATAGCGGTGGCTTGCGGGAGGCCTTTCAGAAGATGACGATGATAATGATGGTGATGATGACAAAAACAGGACTTTTGATGTCCCGGGAAGCCTCGCGGTTTTCACAGGACAGCAGTTGCATCAAAACGAGGACGTTCTGGGAAAACCAGGACAGCTGGCAACCGTTGTCACCCAGGAGCAAACAGCGGTACCTGTAGCGGCGTCAGCGACGTCAGCAGCAAGTGACACCTGGTCTCTCTGTTGTGCTGTGTACAGCTGCTGGGACACAAATGACAACCACGAGATCTGGTGGATTATCAAGGGCCCCATCCTCTTCTGCATCCTCGTGAGACGCGCGCGCGTGTGCACATGTGCGCACACTCCATTCACACGCGCACACACAAACATTCCATTCTCACACACACACACTCCATTCACACACACTCCATTCACACGCGCACACACTCCATTCACACACACTCCATTCACACACACTCCATTCACACACATTCCATTCACACACACTCCATTCACACGCGCACACACTCCATTCACACACACTCCATTCACACACACTCCATTCACACACACTCCATTCACACACACTCCATTTACACGTGCACACACGCCATTCACACACACTCCATTCACACACACTCCATTCACACGTGCACACACGCCATTCACACACACATACACACTCCATTCACACACAAACACGCACTCCATTCACACACCCACATACTGCATTCACACACACTCCATTCACACACACTCCATTCACACACACTCCATTCACACACACTCCATTCACACACTATTCACACACTATTCACACACGCACTGCACACACGAGAGGGACCTGGTTTAATCACGAGCGGCTGGATCCTGGATGTGAACCCAGGCACTCGGCGTTGCTGGCTCAGTGCACTGAACCCCTGAGTCACCCGGCCACCTGGAGACCCAGAGTCTGAACCCGAATTACCGGACTCGTGGGGGGGGTGGCACGTGCCCCCCCAATGAACCGATCGAAATCCCTAATTTAGATCGGATAATTGGGGTTTATTAGTAATAAATCGGCATTTTGCGACCCTCACTGCCACTGTGGAGCATTTTATTACGTGCCAGGGACTCTGTGAGATGATAGGACAATAGTCTGAGTCCATAATTGGCAATAAGTAACGGCAAAGCAGTTATAAGTGACTCAGAATTGTGCGCAGTTGCGTATACAGTCCACGACTTCCCTGAAGGCAAACACCTTCAGCGAGCGCGATGCCGATCACACAACGCGGTTCGAATTTGACCCTCGATCGATGGCTATGCCATTGCCGCACACGCGTCGAATAAAAAGCAAGGGACAAGTCATCACTTACTAACAACTCCTCTATCAGTTTTCATTGCTGGCGAGGTTGCCCCCCCTACCTGAAAATCCTGGCTCCGCCATTGACACCAACCCTCAATTGTAACCTCGACATCCATAGGCGCGTATTACCGAGACGTGATGATGTTCATTGTAATTGGTTTTTTACCCTTATATCTGGCAACAAAACTGACACCTTTTTACAAGGAGTCATGTTTGCATAGACCACAATACCTGGCAAATGAGGTTCCAATGGTGTAAATGCTTACCCCAAGCTCTCATACTCTGATGGTGCATTGTCTTTGAGTTGTGCGCCTTTTGGCGTCATCTGGTCCAACCCATGTGAGAATAGGCTCTAAGGAAAGCTGTCTCGGGTGTGGACCAATCAACTTCAAGGACAGTGCACATTATCAGAGTTATGTTTTTTGTTTGCAATATGACTGCAGGTATTGTGGTCTATGCAAACATGACTCCTTGTAAAAAGGTGTCAGTTTTGTTGCCAGATAGAAGGGTAAAAAACCAATTATGATGTTCATTGTGTCAGGTCATGGTTATCCATGCCAGGCTGGGTGCATCGCGAGCCCGTGGCTTGCCGTGCGCCTGGGCCTTGGAAACAGCGCTCCGTCTGAACAACGGGGTCACGTTCAGCCACCATCGTTTGGACGGAGTGCTCTTGCCAATGCCACGCGGGAACCCAGCAGCATTTGCCCAACTAAGCCTGCCTCGGCTGACGAGACCCGGGGAAGGTCGTAGCCGGCCCCGGAGTTTGCGTGCCGAGGCAAACGCCGCTGGGTCATGTTGGTCTGGCAAGTCAACGGCTGAGACGCAGGCCAGAGGCCTAACGGTGGATGCCATCACCCACGGTGATCCGCAGCGGCGCGTAACGAGGCGGTGTCATTGCAGGTCAACTTCATCCTCTTCATCAGCATCATCCGCATCCTCATCAAGAAGCTCAAGTCGCCAGACGTTGGAGGGACCGACTCGAGCCACTACAAGTGAGACGACCGCCCTGGGCACGTGTGTGTGTGTGTGTCTGTGTGTGTGTGTGTCTGTGTGTGTGTGTCTGTGTGTGTGTGTCTGTGTGTGTGTAGTGTATGTAGGTGGTACAGCGGTTAGCGCGCTGCGCTATGAACCCGGCGACCCGGGTTCGATTCCCGCTCACGGCCAACACCAGTGACGATTATCTGAACCGGTCCCGGGCCTCCCCTAGGTCGACTCAGCCTCAAATGAGTACCCGGTGCGGTGTGTAAACATCGCCACTGGGGAGACGAAGGCGGTCGGGCGTGGTGTTGGCCACCCACCCCCTCGTGTACCGTTCTGGCCTTCATAGGTGCTCGCTAACAGCACTTGCCCCGACAGTCTGTTAAGGCTATATGGGGGATCTTTATCTTTGTAGTGTAGGTGCACCTAGCCTGGCACAAGGTGCACATGCGCTACGAACCTGGCCAACCCAAGATCGATTCCCGGTGACGGTCACCACCAGTGACGATGATCTGATCCGGTCATGGGCCTCCCTTAGGTCGATTCAGCCTCAAATGAGTACCTGGTGCGGTGTGTAAACATCACCACTGAAGAGACAAAGGCGGCCGGGCGTGGTGCTGGCCACCCACCCCCTTCATAGGTGCTCGCTAACAGCACTTGCCTCAACAGTCTGTTCAGGCTATACGGGGGATCTTTGTCTTTTTGTTTTTCTACTGCCGGTGCACCTAGCCTGGCAAAAAGTGCACCTGGCGTGGCACAAGCGCCGCTGAGTGGTGAATTGCAGCTGCTGCTGTTGTATCTCCCCGATGTCGACCCAGCATTTAAAGAGCCTTGTTGCGGCGTGTCAACATCGCACACCCGGGGAGACAAAGGCAGCCAGGCGTGGTGTTAGCCACGCCACCCGCTCATCATCGGAGCCACTCGCCAACAGCGCTTGCCCCAACGGTCCGTTGAAGGCTGTCCGGGGGATCTTTGTCCCTGTCCCGTGCGTGCGCAGGCGTCTGGTGAAGTCCACGCTGCTGCTGATCCCGCTGTTCGGCGTGCACTACATCGTGTTCGCCTTCACGCCCGACAACATGCTGCGCGACTTCCCCATCGAGATGAGACTCTACTTTGAGCTGTCCTTTGGCTCCTTCCAGGCATGTCCACGCTCACCCCCTGCACTCAGCCACACACTCACACGCTCGCCCGCACGTTCGCTCGCTCGCCCGGACACTCACCCATGCACTCGTCCAAACACTCACCCACTCCCCAGCCCGCTCACTCATTAACATGCTCACCTGCTCACTCGCCCGCAAAGTCACTCACCCACACACTCAAAAACAAGGATCCCCCGTGTAGCCTTAATAGACTGTTAGAGCAAGTGCTGTTAGCGAGCACCTATGAAGGTCAGCACGGCACACAATTTCATCCCTCACAATTAATGGAGTTGGCCAGACGTCCCGACTTAGGGCCGCAGAGCTCGAAAAATTGACGGCACCGGTTCCGACTGCCTTGCTTCCCGCTCGTGCGTGGTCTCCCGCTCCCCTGGATCTACGGAAACTGCGCGGCGTGTAAATGTAACTTGTAGCCGGGTCCCGTGAGAGTACACGGAGGCAGCCAGTCCCTGTGCGGTGTTCAGCCAAGTCCCCCTGTGTCGACTTTCAAGTGTCGCGTTTATTTTGTTCAACCCCAGCTGAGAACCTCCCGAGATCAGGATGAGTGTCACGTACGAGAGTGACCTCGGGGTCACCAAGGCCGTGTGCCGGCCGTGCGTGGTGACCGTGATGTGCTGACGGCACAGGCGGCCGTGGCGACTGTGCCCAAAGCCGCCGTCTCCCCTCTCTCCGCGCTGTGTCCGCAGGGCTTCGCCGTGGCGATCCTCTACTGCTTCCTCAATGGAGAGGTACGCGCGCACGCACGCACGTGTCCACACACGCACACACGCGTCCACGCACGCACGCGTGCACACACGCACATGTCCACACACGCAAGCACGCGTCCACATGTTCGCGTGCACGCACGCCCAGCGGTCCAACTAATGGAAATGCGGTCGTGTCGGTTGGGGGGGGGGGGCACAGTGACGCGGTTTGAATCTGGCAGCCGCCCCAGTTGATACTGCGGCGCGCACGAACCACGGTATACCGCGCATCGTCTGCTTCACAGTGAACGCGAAAGATGTATGCGTGTACGTTGAACTACTTTTACACCGTACGTAGCCAAGCGTGCCAATCGGAGGTGTGGGAAAGATCGCCTAATGCCGTTTTTGAAACGGCTGGGCCATCGCGCGCCGGCGTGAAGGTCCAAATTTGCCAAAATTCGACATATGACCCCCACAAGTTACCCAATTGTGATTACACACAGACAGCAACATCGCCCCCTGCTGTGTTATACCTCCTGCAGACTCTGCCTGTGAAACAGCAGCAGCAGAGCCTTCCTTCGTGATAGCCTCACCGCTACTGCAATGGCGCGAATACCAAATGTACTAAACTATTATTAATTATGAAACCTATTAGTTCCATAACTCACGGCGACTGCTGCCTCCCCTCTATGCAACTTAGCATAGGAATAGGAACCATTCTGAGCAGCGCCAGTGGTATACCACATTTCAAAAAGGGCATTGAGGCGTTGCTCAACATCCCGGTGCTCATTTTAATCGACCTTAGCCGCAGGGTGGAGTCAGCGAAGGTTGTTGGATCACTGCACAAATGTTGGGCGTCGAAGTGCCATACCCTGTGTGGGACTTCATCTCATCTGTACGGGGATAGAGCGTTTCCCCCTCGCACGCGTGGGTTTTCTCCACGTTTCCTCCAACACCAAAACACATTCGTTGGATAATAAACCCTTCATATATATAGAGGACCGCAGACATCGGGCAATTGTTAGCATTACCACGTGGCTGCTGCCTTCTCACTCATCTCTGGTTCCCCCACGCACGGTGGCGGCACGTTACGAGTTGACATTGTTATTATATTATTAGTAATATTATTATATTAGTATTACTATTATTAGTACTATTATATTAGTATTACTATTATTAGTACTATTATATTAGTATTACTATTATTAGTACTATTATATCAGTATTACTATTATTAGTACTATTATTATATTAGTATTACTATTAGTACTATTATATTAGCATTACTATTATTAGTACTACTATTATATTAGCATTACTATTATTAGTACTATTATTATATTAGCATTACTATTATCAGTACTATTATTATATTAGTATTACCATTGTAATAGGACGAGCCAACCTCCAACCAGGATTTTTGACTCGTAACCTTTTCCTCGGCGCGGAGCCAGCCGGGGCGGATTCGCATTAGCGGCTAACGCCGGTGGTGAGCGGTAACCGAACCAGGCCGCGGGCACCCACCCCTCCTTCGGCGATCCGCACCGAACGGCACGGTTGGGTACAATCAAACGGCCCCCCATCCTCCCCCCGCCATCGTCCGGTAACCCCCAGGTGCAGGCCGAGCTGAAGCGCAAGTGGCGACGCTGGTGCGTGGACCGCTACCTGTCGGTCGACCTGCGGCAGCAGCACAACTCCACCGTGAGCAACGGCAACAACGGAGCCACGCAGCTCTCGCTGCTCACCAAGTGCAGCCCCAAGACGCGCTCCTCCAGCCTGCAGGTGGACTCCTCGCTCATCTAGACCCCGACCGGGGGGGGGGGGTGGGGGCGGGGTGGTCACGCAGCACGTGCCCCACGCCATCACACACGTCCCCCTGCGATCGCACACGTGCTACCCGCCCCGCCCCCCCCCACCCACCCTCCACCCAGCATGGCCCCCTCCCTCCCCGCCCTCCTCACCCTCCATACTTCGATCCACTGGACGCGTCGCTCCGCCTCACACCCCCCCCCTCTGCTTGGCATGCGCCTCCCCGCGCACTGATTTCTCCGCTCCCCGCGCGGTGTAACCTCCACGTGCTCCCCACCCCCCCGCCCCTCTGAGTCCCTGACCTCCGCATGTCCCTCGACTCGACATGTCCCTGCGCTCCGCGTACCTCCCCCCATCCCGTAAACCACGCGGTCCCCTCTGCTGCACACTTCCCTTGCCTCCTGCACGCCACCTCACTCTCCACTCTGCATGGCCCTGTGCGATCACGCGCCCCCCCCCCCCACTCCCTTCGCTGCGCACGTGCCACGACTCGTCGGCATGTTCTTCCACTCCAGATGCCCCTCTGCGTTCACAAGCCCCTCCACCGCATGTCCCTCAACTCTACACGTGACTCTACATGCCCCTCCACTCTACATATCCTTCCATATCATACTTCCCTCTGAAGTTCACAGCCCCACACACACACACATCACACCCATCTCCACACCCTGCAAACTCCACATTGCTCCACGCACGAGCACCCTTGCTCCACTCCCTTGTACAGCCATCCATTTCCCAATGCCCTCCCTTTACTACTCACCGATTAATATCCACAAACGCCGAGTCGAATCCAAGCAGTCGAATCAATTTTATACGGCTTAATAGGGAGTCACAATGGACCTACGCCACACCCATAATCTCCCCTTGGCCTTGTCCACCGCCGGCCACAACCTCACCGCTCCCACTCGTTCCCTCCAGACCTAGGACTCCGCAGGCTCGTCTCTGCAGCCACGCTGGGAGGCGCTCCAGCTGCTTCACAGGCGGCTCTCCGCAGGTCACAGTGCCAAACACGACGCTCATGGCACTTTGCACTTGGAACAAGCGAGCTGCCCGCAGCCCTGTTGAGCCACCTGCCCAGTAAACGTGGTCGGAACCGTTGGGCCAACGTTGACTCAACGTTGGCCCAACGTTCCATGTTCCGTGTGAGTTCCCGGTAAACGTTGGGCCAACGTTGGCACGTGGCTGTCACCGTGTTTCAACCGGGTTGTTTGTCCATTTCGCCGTAGCTTTTAGCTGATATCGCAGGGGGTTTCGTTTTGAGCTCCCGAGCCAAGGAAACCCAATGTCCGGGGCGCACACGCACAGCGAGGGGAAGCGAGAGCGGTGAGATTGGCCACCACGCACCCTGCTCCTCCCATTTCGCCGCACACGAAGCACCCAGCAAGCAGCGCACTGCACCAGACCACGCATTCCGCGAAAGAGAAAGTTCGGACAAAATTCTGCATGCGCACAGGTCGTGTAACGCTCTCCGAGAACGCGTGCGTCCTTCGGAGTGTTTAACCAGCAGCGCAGAAGCCCACGGGTAACTTTTGCATATTTCTATCGTCCTCTATCCCCTCGGTTATAGTCCCCAGGTGTTGGGCAATCACCCTTCGATGAACTTGGCCGCTTTCGCGATAGGGTTCAAGCCGAATAGTGTCACAGGGTTTTACTCGAATTTCGTTCATATCCGATCGCCTTTACGAGTGCTATCGCGCGCCCCCGCCCCCCCCGCTACTAACGTACAGAACTAACGCACAGACCCTTTCGTGCTTAGTTGGAAAGCGTTACACATTATATATATTTAAAGCAAATCTTGCGCTCGCAGCAATTTTTTACAAGAAAAAATAATTCTTATTATCCTTTGTGCTTTTTTTTTCTCGTTGGAAGTGCCCCCTCGGGGTGGGGCGGGGTGGGGGGGGGGCATGCCGTAGATGTAGAACGCTGGTGTGCGTGTCGTGTGGTGTGTGTGTTCTTGGCTTGTTCCATAGACAGTAACCGCAGCCCCGGAGCAGCATGGCGCGATGATCAGTGACTGCCGCGTGTAGCCGTCCCGTGGCGCCACCCCGCGTAGTGTCCGTGGTTTCGTAGGGACCCCTGTCGATGTATAGCCGTCCGCAAGCTCTGTCGCTGTAGCGACCTCCGGCTTTTATGGCGCCGGTTTTCCCGCAGAGCGCCGACAGAAACTTCCCCGCGGAAAACGTTTTGCTCGATCCTTAGGGTGTGGAGGCCTCAGAACACCGGTCAGGAAAACCAGGCGCCGGCCAAAGTTTGCGCGCGCGACGCGTCGTTACTAGTGTTATGATGATGATTATTATTGCTGCTCAACGTCTCCCGGCAGCAAAAGTGTCAACTTTTCTATTTCTACGGGAGAATTGCCGTTTGGTCTGAGCGCACCACTCGAGCTTGCGGCTCTTTGTGGTCACGTGGTCGAGGCCGACGTACGCCCAGCGAGAAGGTGGCCACAGTGGCCGTGATAAGGGGGGGGGGGGGTGGCCATCCTTCGGAGGATTTCCATCAAAAGATTGTCGCGATTGAAAACACGGAAGCTGAATGTGAGCACGCGAGCTGGATCGAGGCTAAGCGCGCTTGCCTCCCCCGCAACCCCTCACCCTCCCATCGGCGTAACGTGAGGACTCATATGAGGACTGTACTTATATAGGGTGAGCTTGTATCCGGCTTCTAACATAATAGGAATAATTTACCCAGATAAACCTCAATGAGTTCGAAGGCTCTTTCTTTTTTCTGGAGGGTTCTGCATTGGAATGTTTCGGGCGAATTCCATTGATGCGTAATTTTGGCATACGGAAGGAGTAATTGCAAACAAAATCGAAAAACTCTTATTGCAGTTTAGGGGGTTCCACTCAGCATGGCAATCTATCTTCTCGCTGCCACTCGCCTACAACACGTGGCTAACCCTGGCACACACGTGGCGCAAATACCGCAGAGTCATCAATATCCGACAAGGTTGGGCGCATTGAAGACCATTTGGCCGTAGGTCATAGCCGTGGAAATGTGTCCAGCAGAACGCCCGTTGTGTCACGTGGCTCTCTTGGCGAGACTCCACCAACGCCGGCTCGTCTCACGTACGGGGGGCGGGCGGTGGGGAGGGGGGGGCGAGCGGTGGGTGGGGGGGAGTACCCATCCACGGTTTCGCGCCCGCAAGGTCCGTCGCTCCCGGGCAGCGCGTATTCCGTAAACGAAATTAGCACTGCAAAATATCCGCCGTCGACGAAAGTGTTTGTGTGGTTTACGGTGACTCCGATGGGTGGACGAAGCGATCGAGCGGCGACTACTACGACTACGGCCGCTGCCCTCCAGAGACAAACGCGCGACCACTGAGATAAGCGTAGACGCTTCTTTGAACACTCTGAATGAAAGCTGAGACTTAAACTAACTCGAGCCGTGTTCATCAGCGACTGTGGTGGGGCCTGGAAGACCAGAAAATGATAAATACCCTACACGGTATGTACGTATTTTAAACGGTGTACCTCGGTCACTGATTGGCTGAGCTGATGACGTTGTGGTGGGGGGAGGGGTGGTGTGGGGGCGGGGTCGCGTGCCCACGTCACAAACATCGCTCATCTGACATTGGACGACACTCTCCCACTGCCTTTGTCGACCAGACCCCCAAAACCAGTGACGACATGAAATCCGCAGACCTGCGATTCGTCTAAATCTCCACGTGGTCGTCGTTGCCTCGGCAAGGACTGTGATTCAGACAAATAAATAGAACGCTGACGAAATGTCCGCCGCTCCCGTCGAGGGGGTCGCCCAGTGTCCTGAATGCTTTGGGCTCAAAACCGCGTTCATGAAATGGTCGGCGATGGGGGGGATCGCCCCTCCCCGCCACCCTCTCCCCAGCAGTGCTTTCGGACGTAGCCCGAGTTCCGGTGGTCGCTTGTAGACCGCTGCGTAGGTTTCCTTGCGGTCGCGCCGTTTACGGCTCCCCGATTGTGTTTTTACGCTTGCGCTGCGTTTGCTGACGTTGGGCACGACGGCGGTGCGACGGTTTATTTTTTTGCTGCCGCTCCGCGCTCCCTTCGGGAACCGAACGTTCCCTCGTCCGCGTGCTCGGGATGTTCGCCGACTCAAAGTCTCGCTCTTCCCGGCGCGCGGAGCGGTGAAACGTCGGGCAGCAGTGGTGCCGAACGGCGCGCGACCCCGAGTGGGGGGGGGGGTGGGCGTTGGTTTGGGGGTACGACCCGACAACAGGCCGGAGGGAGGGCTCCCTTAGACTCGCACGTGCGCGTGCGTGCGTGTTCACCTACAAAGTGTTTTTTGTAACCAAAAGCCCTGTGGGCGAGTGGGCGATGGGGAGGACGAGGAGGAGCGCCTGTGTCGTTCACGAGTCGGTTCGATAGAATGCAGCGGGAGGGTGGGACGGTTACAGGGAACCCACCTCTGGCTTGAGAGGGGTCGTTTGCTACTCGATATTTGTTTTTTTGTAAGTAAAAAAAACTGTCCGTATACGAATGCCGAACTGTTCACGTGTTAACTTGGAGGTTTTTTGGAGCGCCGCAATGTGATGTGTACTGCGCGTGACTTTCAGCTGTAAGCCAGTTGATCAATATATGTGATGTGTATCACGCGTGACTTTCAGCTGTAAGCCAGTCGACCGGTCTATGTGGTGTGTACCGCGCGTGACTTTCAGCTGTAAGCCAGTCGATCGATCAAACTTATCTATCTGCCGTCTCTTTTTGTTACCCATTGCCCGCAAACACCATCCCATTGCACATTTCTGTTACGAGGCCACGTCAGTGGCGAGCGTGGCGAGGTTGGTCATCGTTTGCGCGCGTCGCATTGCTCCCCACGAGCTCCACCCAGCGGGTCGGACCTGTGTCATTCGCTCTGCTGCAGGTCATTTCTTGTATCCGAGGCTTAAAATCAGTTTCGATGTCCCTACGCGGAGACTGCAATCGTCCCCCCCCCCCCCCCCCCCACTCTGTCCAGCCATCGGCTTTCGCGAGAAAAATTCGATCATGGCGTTTTGCTTCAACGGCTTGTCCGCTTCATTCATTTTGTGTTCGACGGCTTGCAGTACCCCCAACCCCTGCCCCGTGGCTGCACATGCGGCACCACGTGGTGCCGTGTTATGATAATCGCAAAGGTGGCTAATAATGTGTAATGCGTTCCCGATCGTGAATGAGAAACGTTTGGTATTCGCGCCGTCTGCAGGAGTACACACACTCAGCGCACGCTTTTGTCGACAAAGTGGATACAGCCAGGGCTGAATTTCTCACTCGATATTCTCCGGAACGCTGCTGGGCTGGCTCGGAGTAGGATTGTAGAGCTGCAAGGTACGTCCATCCACAATTAACCTCGGTTATCGTCGATTACTGTACCCTATGTTCCGATAATCTCACGAGGATAAGATTAGTAGGATTACCAAACAATGTGAGATTGATGGTGGCGTGCTCAAAACAATTCCCCAGGACAGCGTTCCGGACTTTTCGTGTTGAAATTAAGACTTCTGGTATGTACCGTAATTACATATATACATGTATCGTATAGGCAAACGTTTCGGGTAATTGCCATGTTATTCAGAGTGGGAGGGATATGCGGACGAGAGCGACGTGCTGAATAGTTGGAGACAACGCATTGCACGGTCCCATGAGCCCAGAGCCAGATGTCTCACCCGTGTCGGGTACCACCTCAAGTGGCATCACTTGAGCGGTTCCAAGTTTCTTTATGCTGGCCAATAGCCGTGATTTGTGCGTTATGACCGTTTGAGACGTGTGGGGTTACCAGGTTATTGACTCTTGTTAGGGGTATAAATACAATCCGTGCTGGTAACGATGTTGCTCCCTTGGGGTGGTACCCACTTGCTGCGCTGGCCCCCATGGACTGATGGCCAAATGCTTTCTCCAGCCACGTGTCGCTCCGCATATTTTCTGTCTGCGGCGTTCCCCACCCCGCTTTCAAGAAGGAACAATCGTCCAAAACGTTCCTCTGCTGCCGTGCTCGGTGTCCTGTTGTTGTCCTGTTCCGAGGAGGAGGGGGGGGGGGGGATGTTTGCCATTGGCGATGGTATCGTCGAGGGTTCGGCTCTCCCGGTCTCTGCGCTGCCTACAGCCCCCACTTGCACTGATAGGGGGACGCGGCGCGGGCTGCCATTCACGTCGCCCTGAATTTTTTTCTCTCGCGTGCGCACGCACGCACGCACGCGTACGTACAGCGGCGAGGGGAAGGAGACTTTCCACTTTATTTTATGTAACCCAGGTGCGAACTGCCGGAGACCAGGACGCGAGTCGCGTTTGCAAGAGCGACCTTTTGGGCCCATTGCTTTGCCGGGAGGGGGCCGACGGTTGCTGCTGCTGCTGCTGCTGCACGTGGTGTAATCCCAACCGAGTGTATTTTTGGACTTTTTTTCTAAAAAAAATTTCACATTTGGACGCTGACGCCGACACGCCATGGACGGCCTACTCCTGCGATTAACGTCGGGGCGGCCCGCTGAATCCGAACCGTGAACTGCGGCGACGAACGGCAAATGGGCTACCGCTGGGCCCCTGTTGAGGGGAGGGGGCGGGGCAGGTGTACCATGTGATCACTACCAGCGTTGCCACCTTCACAGACTCAACCCGTTATGTCATTCCCGTCGGCACGAGGTGTCTTATGACAACTGTGCAGTGTACCCGGTGATGAAGTTCAACACAGCAACACTGGCGGTACCGGATCTCGGTGCAAATTGATTCCCGTGGCCACCCGAATACAGGTGGCAAATGCCGGGCTGTCTTGGTCAACCATTCCCTTTGGGTGACCTCAGCTTATGGTTGCCACCTGTCCAGATCAAACCCGGAGAGGCAGCAACCCAAGCCACTATGCAGTGCTGTGAGCACCAAAAGCTGAAGTAAATATCAAATGAACAGGGGCCTGGGTGAAGCACTGAAGGCGGTGGGACGCGGTTTGGTGCGAATGGCTTGGTTGGGTGGCTTGTTGGAGCGGGGTAGTGGTAGAGATATCGAGAGACAGTACTCGTGGCTGATTGGCTGGTGTGCTTTTGGGCTCGGGCCATTGGAATTTGGGCATCATTCTTACCAGTGGCTGGTTTGCTATTGTGGCTAGGGTTAGTGGTTAGAGATAGTACTGGTGGCTACTGTGGCTAGGGTTAGTGGTGGAGATAGTACTGGTGGCTGGTTTGCTATTGTGGCTAGGGTTAGTGGTGGAGATAGTACTGGTGGCTGGGTGGTTATTGTGGCTGGGGTTAGTGGTGGAGATAGTACTGGTGGCTGCATGGCTATTGTGGCTAGGGTTAGTGGTTAGAGATAGTGCTGTTGGCTGGTTTGCTAATGTGGCTCGGGTTAGTGGTAGTGGTAGCGCTAGTGGCTGGTTTGCTACTGTGGCTTCGGTTAGTGGTTAGAGATAGTACTGGTGGTTGGTTTGCTAATGTGGCTAGGGTTAGTGGTAGTGGTAGCGCTAGTGGCTGGTTTGCTACTGTGGCTAGGGTTAGTGGTAGTGGTAGCGCTCGTAGTACACGTGGCTGGTTGGCTAGGTGTGGTTCAGGCTGGGGTCAGCGGGAGGGGTGAGTGCTGTTGTGTGGTCGGCTAGCTGGTTGTTGGTATCAGAGGTAAGAACCAGCCGTGTGATTGTCTCGTGTACTCTGCCAACGAGCGGCTCGTTCCTCCCCTGCCACCGCTGCTCGTTGCTCCTCCATGCGGCTGTAGACTTCTCCGATTTGTTGTAGACTTGTTGTTTTGTAGACTTGTTGTTTGGTAGACATCTTCTTGTGTAGACTTGTTTTGGAGACTTCTTGTTGACTTGTAGACTTGTTTTGTAGACTTATTGTTTACTTGTAGACTTGTTGTTTTGTAGACTTGTTGTTTTGTAGACATCTTCTTTTGCAGAATTGTTTTGGAGACTTGTTTTGGAGACTTATTGCTGACTTGTAGACTTGTTGTGTAGACTTATTGTTGACTTGTAGACTTGTTGTTTTGTAGACTTGTTGTTTTGTAGGCATCTTCTTTTGTAGACTTGTTTTGGAGACTTGTTTTGTAGACTTCTTGTTGACTTGTAGATTGTTGTGTAGACTTCTTGTTGACTTGTAGACTTGTTTTGTAGACTTGTTGTTTTGTAGACATCTTCTTTTGTAGACTTGTTTTGGAGACTTGTTTTGTAGACTTATTGTTGACTTGTAGACTTGTTGTGTAGACTTGTTGTTGACTTGTAGACTTGTTGTGTAGACTTGTTGTTGATTTGTAGACTTGTTGTGTAGACTTCTTGTTGACTTGTAGATTGTTGTGTAGACTTCTTGTTGACTTTTAGATTGTTGTGTAGACTTATTTTTGGACACGTGGGGGGGTTTGCACGCTGCGTGACGCTTCCCCGTGATATGGTGAGAGATGTGGCGGGTGGTGTTCAGTTCACTGCAGGCCGTGTCACGCCATATTGTTTACCTGCTTGAGTAGAACCCTTAAGGGTGGCAGATTTGAAAAAAAAAAGTATTTTAGGTGGGCTGTGTGGGGCGGGCCCCTGAAAAAATCTTGGGGGGGGGGCATATGCCTGCCATTGTCCATGCTACGCCGCTGCCTTTGTCGTCACATGAAACTCGGCAAAAAAAACCCACCTCCCCAGTACTCAACATGCATGGCACGCACAAAGCGTAAGGCACGTGCCAGTTCCGATTCAGAAGCGAGTCGCGGGTTCTGTGTGTGATATGGTGATGGTAGTGGACGGGGGGGGGGGGGGGAGTGATAAATGGGCACCGTGTTTGTGTGTGTGATGAGTGCGTCTGTGATGGTGAGTGATAGTGGGGAGTGATAGTGCATCGGTTAGCGCGCTGCGCTACGAAACCTGGCGACCCGAGTTTGATTCCCACTCACAGCCAACTCCGGTGAGGCATGATCTGAACCGGTCACGGCCCTCCCCGAGGTTGACTCAAAGGCGTGGTGCTGGCTCACGCCACCCACCCCCTCGTGTGCCGCGCCAGCCTTCATAGGTACTGCTCGCAAACAGCACTTGCCCCAGCAGCCCGTGTAGGCTATACGGGGGATCTTTGCCCTTGCCTTTTGGGGATGGAGATGTCTCGGTTGGCTGCCACAGTCGAATGGCCGCACCTACGGTCAGCAAGATTGGCTACGTACGATGCGAAGGAAGTTCAACGTGGGGCGGGAGTATCCGCCGCAACTGTGAAGGTGTAGAAAATATGGAAATCGGGCCTCACTTTAGTTGTGGTGAAGTAAGGGTTAGTGTCAGGGTTTGGATGGTTGTACCAGTGGCTGGTTGGTTAGTTGCTTTGGCTTAGAGGGGTAGAGCTAAAACTAGTTTTGGCTAACGTGCTCCACCTCCAAGCCGTGTGCCCATCCTCTCCATCGCACCGTGTGCCTTTTCGATATTTGGCCGCATTTCGTTGCTGACGCTTACAGCACACTGTCTGGCTCCTCGAGTGTTCATTATCGAGCTCATGAATGATGATGCGTTGTCATGGCCTATGAACCATTGAGCTGTCATCGTCTCCGTAATGGGAATGGCCTCCACGAAGCAACTCTGAACGTTTGTGGGACCTGCGAGCGTTGAGGCTGCGGGGCAAAACGACAATCAGAAGCGCTACGTTTGGACCCCTCAACCTGAATCGGTGAAAAGATCATGAACGTTTATTGCGGTCCGTTCAAGGCGCTCACCGTTTTTCTATCATTCAAATCGATCCGCTGACATGAACTGGGAGGTTAGTGTGTCGACATTTAGCTTCAGAGATATTATAATGTGCACATAGGAATGATATCGGTATACTGTATGGGAATGAATGTCAATGGAATTTGTATAGTGCAAGTTTCATTTGGAAATTATCGACAAAAGTGAGGGTTCGTTTGATCAAAAAATGCTTTAGTATTATATTTACGAATGTTTACCCAGGAAAGTTTCACCGAGTTTCACAGCTCTCTTCCAGTGAGGTCTTGCCAAGTTTTCGCATTCGGGGGCAATGATTGCTGTGTAGAGTCTCAAATTGAATTTACTGCTTTGTGGGTCATTTTTCAAATTTGGCAAATTTGGATCGTGACACCAGCAACACAATGGGGCCTCCGTTTGCGAGTGACGCCAGGGGAATCTTTCACGTCCACTGCAAGTTGAAGCAGACGGCGAGTAGTATTATTATTGGTAGGAGAAGTATTATGGTTGTTACACCCGCAGCATTCATCAGGGTTGGCCGCTGAAATCGAACCGTGTGAACCTCTGCGGCAAATCCGACGACGTCCATGTATCCGAACGCATGGCGATGCAAAACGATCCGTTCAGAATCCGATCCACGACAAATAACAACAACAAAAATGGAATGGTGCAAAGCTTCGTCCGGGCAAACGTTTGTGCGTTTTTTGCCAACTTTTGTTCACCCCCCCCCCGCCACCCCTCGTGACAACGTCTCATCAAGGCGAACTGTCGGGACAATTATAGTGGCTCTTGGTGAAGATTCAAGGCACCCGCCAATTTCAGGGGCCTGTATCCGTCCACCACGTTACACTCGGTGTAATTGCCCAGTGACGATTCTGGCCCTCACGTCTGTCTGGTGCGGGCGGGGTCGGCAAACTCTCTTCGAGGACTGCTTCGTGACGTTACGTAACAAGGACCCCACCGTCTCGTGTTCACATTGCATTGCGGCTCTTGAACCATTGAGTTGCGTCGTCGTCGTCGTTGTTGTTGTTGCCGGATTGGAATCAAATGGCTCTTCTTATTCACTTGCCGACTTCCCGGGTTCTAGTGGGCCACTCTCTCCACTTTGACGCGTTGGTCAACAAAACGGCGCAAATGTAGCAATCTCTCGCAAAGCGTTCCTCCCTTGCAGCGCCCCCCCCCCTCCGCTCGGTAACAGCACACGGAGACCGTCGATGGTTCTCCAACAGCTGTCGCTTCGGGTTGAAAATGTGAAGGGCGCCGCTGGTCAGGCTGTGCGGGTACCTGCCGCCGAGCGCATTTCGTGTCTCCTCGTGTGCCCCGGTCCCCTCCTCGCCCCCCCATCCCCTCTCCCCCATCCCCTCTCCCCCATCCCCTCTCCCCCATCCCCTCTCCTCGATCCCCTCTCCCCCATCCACCATCCCCTCTCCCCCATCCCCTCTCCCCCATCCCCTCTCCCCCATCCCCTCTCCCCCATCCCCTCTCCCCCATCCCCTCTCCCCCATCCCCTCCCCCCATCCCCTCTCCCCCATCCCCTCCCCCCATCCCCTCTCCCCCATCCCCTCTCCCCCATCCCCTCTCCCCCATCCCCTCTCCTCGATCCCCTCTCCCCCATCCACCATCCCATCTCCCCCATCCCCTCTCCTCCATCCCCTCTCCCCCATCCCCTCTCCCCCTTCCCCTCTCCTCGATCCCCTCTCCCCCATCCACCATCCCATCTCCCCCATCCCCTCTCCCCCATCCCCTCTCCCCCATCCCCTCTCCCCCATCCCCTCTCCTCGATCCCCTCTCCCCCATCCACCATCCCATCTCCCCCATCCCCTCTCCCCCATCCCCTCTCCCCCATCCCCTCTCCCCCATCCCCTCTCCTCGATCCCCTCTCCCCCATCCACCATCCCATCTCCCCCATCCCATCTCCCCCATCCCCTCTCTCCCACCCCCTCCCCCCCATCCCCTCTCCTCGATCCCCTCTCCCCCATCCACCATCCCATCTCCCCCACCCCCTCTCCCCCATCCCCTCTCCCCCATCCCCTCTCCCCCATCCCCTCTCCTCGATCCCCTCTTCCCATCCACCATCCCATCTCCCCCATCCCATCTCCCCCATCCCATCTCCCCCATCCCATCTCCCCCATTCCATCTCCCCCATCCCCTCTCTCCCACCCCCTCCCCCCCATCCCCTCTCCTCGATCCCCTCTCCCCCATCCACCATCCCATCTCCCCCATCCCCTCTCCCCCATCCCCTCTCCCCCATCCCCTTTCCCCCATCCCCTCTCCCCCATCCCCTCTCCCCCATCCCCTCTCTCCCATCCCCTCCCCCCCATCCCCTCTCCCCCCCCGCTCGCCGTGCTGCCGCTGGCTGTGCCATGAGTTTTGTATCGTCTCACGTGTTTGTAATTGTATTTTGCGATTTAGCGATTTGTATTATGTAACATGGAAAGTAAACTACAAAACGTACTTATAAACACCGTCTTTCGCGCCCGTGTGCTTCTTCGAGTGAAATGGACTTTGGCGTTGAGGTACGGGTTCATCAGACGAGGGTTCTCGCCGGCTCGGAGGTCGGGCGCCGCTGTGAACCTGGGTTCGTATCCAGGTTTCGGCCGCGCGATGTACGCACGTTGAACTTCTTTCGCGCCGTACGTAGCCGACCGTGCTCATCGGGAGGTGCGAACGTGGAGAGACGACGCTTGTAAGGAGGCAAATTGCCTACTGGTTTATTTAGTCACACCGTTTTACAGCAGGGGTCGGCCAATGCACACCAGTGCGCACGCACAGGTCATCTATAGCAATTGTAATCATGCCCTTAACTTACCCGGGAAAGGGTTCCGTATTGGAATGTTTGGCCAATTCCTTTCACGAGTGACACGAAGGCAGCAAGTGGGGCATCCGAGAAAAAAGAAAACCAATGCACTATTGCTTACAAGGTGGTAAAATTCAAAAGCTCCGCACAGATATGTATTCAATATTGCTTTGCTGGACTGTCATCTCCTGGTTACCTTGCAGCCCAAGCCCACTACAACAACTGCAATTCCGACTAAAGATCTCCCATCCAAGTACCAGCCGCGCTCCACTCAACCTGCTAAGCTTGCGAGACCGGACACGATCGGGCAAGTTCAGGATTCCAGAAAGCATGCAACGTTAGCCCAACGTGACACGTTCAAAACTGGGATGCTGCCTGCGTAAGTTTTCGCGAGCTGTGTTCTATCGCTCTCCGACGCGGTCTTTCGGGTCGCACCACGCTTTTTGTTCGGCGCAGTGTCCGATGTTTCGATTCGCGTGCTGGGGAGCGTCTTCAGGAATTGAGCTTCTTTAAAGTTTGTGAATAAACTCCCGATGCTTGAGGGGTCCCAACAGGTCCGTCGGTCATCACGCGGCGCAACACGCGGCACGACCCGAGAGCGCATCCAACGTGCACCCCGGTAAATACTGGCGGGGTTGTTATCGACACGCTACACGCCACCGATTCGCGGTGGACGCTGAAGATCCCCGCGACGTCGCTCGCAGGGAGTAAGGCCACTGTGCGTCGGCGTCCCGGATCCAAAGTTGAACGGAAAAAAAATGCCCCGCAAAAATTACGCGCCGCGACGAAAAAGATATACGGCAGGGCCCTACTGAAGAAAAAAGGAAAGAGTCACGAGGCTCGGTGAGGCTTTCCTGGGTAAACATGCGCTGTTAGTTACTGCATACTAAAGAATGAGAGAGAGAGAGAGGGTATTCGTGGTTATTTGGTCATAGGCAGTACTCGGCAGAGTACATGACAAGGCAGGGGGGGCGGCAACTACAACGACCCAAGGCAGTCGAGTAGAATCTCTTCTACGAACACTCCCGGATTCCCTGCTGGGGATACACTGGATACCCCGCTGGGGATACCCCGCTCGGGATAGCCCACTAGGGATACCCTGCTAGAATACCCCCCTATTAATACCCCGCTAGAGATACCCCGCTAGAATACCCCGCTAGAAATACCCCTCTATAAATATCCCGCTAGAGATACCCCGCTAGAATATCCCCCTATAAAAACCCCGCTAGAAATATCCCGCTGGGGATACTCCCGGAACAAACGCTAGGGGGCAATGGCTGCCGCGTTCCGCGAGACAAAGGCACAAAACGGGCTCACAGTGGTTTCGAGCAAGTTCCATGGCCCGCTTAAGGGTTGGCGTCGAAGCGCCGTCCTGCGGCCAACTACCCTGCAGGTGACACCATCGGGCGACGGCACGGGAACACGCGTGAGTGTCTCTATAGTGCGTGTGCGTTCGCGCTTTCGGGTTGCTATTGAGCCTGATGTGCGACTTCTTGCCCCATGTGCCCTCTGTGAATGTCTGTGCCTACGACTATTGTCTCTTTGTGCCCGTTCCGCTGCGTCTTTCTATCTCACGGTGTCTATCTCTGTGACTGTGCGACTGCGCCCTGTTCACATGTCCTGCCTTGCCACTCACTGCCTCTGTTGTGTCGTTTTTTGCATCTTTCTCTCTGTCTGTCTCTCTCTTTCTCCTTCTTGCACATCGATCCGCATAGCTCGGACGTCTCTCTCTCTATGGCTGGGGCGTCTGTGTTTGCATATCTCTCTTATCTGCCTGCGTCTCACCGTGTTCAGTCTTTTATCCAGTTTTGAAACTTTGGGTGGTGCAATGATGAAGCCAGGTGAGGTGGCGGTGGGGAGGGGTGTGGCGACTCTGCCACTTGGCCAGGGTGGGTGAACACGTGGGAGGGTGCAGATCAATGCCTCGCTGTGGGTCTCTTCCGATGCATTCGTTTCTCTCCGTGTCTCTCTCTCTGTGCCGCTGTCCATGTGTTGTCTTTATCGATAGTGCCCCACTAACCCAACCCCCCCTGCCCCACGCATCTGCACAGGTCCCCACTTATACCCCTTTTCCGCTGAACAACTGAGCGGTGCTAAGCTCAGCTTAGGGAAGCGCCAGCTTGTTTCCTTCCCTTCCCTTCCCACTGCCGAACCTGAGCCGTGCCACCGACGCCGTATGTCGCTGATCGAAGCCGCGACGCGACATGCAGGGCACGCGGTGCTGCCGTGCCTTCACAGGTGCACCGGCTGACGTCACGCGCAACGACGCGTGTCGTTGGCCCCACCCTCGACCCTGCTTTTGCCCCGCCCCCTCCTTCAACCTCGAGCAGAGGTCGCAACCGGGTACCCGAAACCCGTACCCTACCCAATACCCGGCTACCCGTACCCGGCCAGGTACGGGTACGGGTATCCGTTTGCGACTCTGGTGCGGCCGGGTACGGGTACGGGTAGGCCGTGAGTCACTGGTGAGTAACCGTTTGTCACTCATTTCGGGTAGGTATGGGTACGAGTAAGGAATCAAAACCCGTTTGGGACCTCTGACCTCGAGTCACTTTCAGATGTCTCGGGAGGGCCAGCGGCAAAGGGGTAATTAAGCGTAGAGACGTCCCTACCGCGGCAATGCCTGTCAACGCAGCGGAGCGCCGTACGCCTCGCGCGGCCGCAGCGTCATCTCCGTCGAAAATCTACCAGAACCGAAAAGCAAAGCAACACCGGTGTACGCGGGCGCGGTGGGGGGCCGGGGGAGAACGCGGGGTGGGGGTGGGGGGGTCACAGCTTGATGTCGTCTGGGCTCTCGGTCGAGTCGTGGGGTGCGGGCGAAGCCTCTTCGAGGGGCCCCGAGCGGAGAGCCCTGAGCCGCGCTCGCAGAGGCACGGAGCGCGGGGCGAGCAGGAAGTCGTAGAAGAGGGCAGCGCACAGCGATCCGCTGAGCGGGCCCAGCCAGAACACCTGCCAGGACAGGAGGAGGGAAGGCAAGTCGCTCGGGTAACTGGCGCGATGCAATGTTCCAGTGAGAAACTCCTCCTTGTTGTCCGCGAGTCGTGCTGGCGCTATTGCAAGGATATCCGTGGTCCGCACAGTTCGGAAAACTCTGCGCCTTTGTGAGATTCTACGATTTTTTTTTTAGAATAGAGGCGTTTTTATCGCGGTGTATTGGTGATTATAGGATCCACAACACGTAGCATCACACCCCCCCTCCCCCGCCATCAACGTGGATTAGAGGTATTTTACGTGATAGCGGATATCCAATAATTCGCGTTGATACGGGGAGGGGGCAGGTCGCAGATCCTGTAATCCGCGACACACCGTGGAGGTGAAACTTAAAATCCACAAATAAATGTTGTCGCCGTCGCGGTGTGGCCGCATGTTACGGGACAAATTGGCCACGCCATTCCATGAATCCGCAAAACAAATATCCGCCTTACAGGGGAAACGCAGCACGTGATTCACGATAAATTAACGGATTTATAACTCCAATTGGCACAACCCTGCCACGTGGGTCTACTCCGTGAAAGGATATTTTTCCTTCATTTGACTTCAAATGATTGGATAGCAAGTTATTGTATTTCTGAAAAATAAGAATAGGTTTTAACCTCTACTGGCAATACAACAGGTAGTTAAGATGTTCAAGCACCAAATAGAAACCTTTTGCAAGGAATCAAGTCCACATTTACCAAACGTACGTGTCGATTGGACGTGGCTCTTCTATCCAATTCGTGGGCCGAGTCTTCTGCGCCGAGAGCAGGAAAGTGTTATCATCACTCAGCACGTGCATCGATCGGTCGGATCGTGCGTATTCGTTGTCAATTTAAAGAGTAAGAATCGAAATCGTCAGGTGTGCTTCATTTTGAGTGATTTGGTATGGACTTTGATCGATACTTTATTTAGTGAAAATGTTGGTTTTGTTCATTACCAAACTTCTACCTATATTAGTGGCTTTTTGGGCTTAGAGATTCGCGTCAAAATGGATATTTTTGGATTAGCCGCTATTTTAAATTATCCACGGCCATCCTCCCCGTCATAAGTGCGGATAATCGAGAGTCTACAGCAGTCAGTTTCGTGTACCCAGGTGATCACTCAAGAAACAGGATGAGTCTCATTTGCAAGATTGACCTGGATGACGAGCATGACAAAAAGAAAAAACAGTGCAGCAAAGTACAGCAAACGAAGCAAACAAGAAATCAAAACAAGCGTGTAACACGAGAAATCGAAAAAAACGCACAAACACACAAAATTAATGCCGACTAATGAATTCCCTGCGAGGCGAACCAGCTGGGACAGATTATCCCTCGACTGATCAAAGTGCAATTGCACATTAAGTTACAGAAATATCAAAACAGATACAGGCTGACCATTGTACAAACATGTAAACAGACTGTATCATGGCAAGTAAGAGAATTAGGTCACTCGCTGTGGGCAATGCCAATTATTTGCCGCTACATTTCGGCGAGTAGAGGGAACAAAAGTATAAACTGGAAGGACCAAAAACGATGACAAACAATAACACTGTGTTAAACTATTGCTTTATTTTACCAGGTAAGGCCCATTGAGCTATGTAGCTCTTTTTCAGAAGCGACCTGGCCACAAATGATATCCCAATGAAGTGGCTTTTCGTGCGGAAATATATCGCATCCAAATACTCTAACACGCATGTTTCTAGATGTGGAGGGAAAAACCGGAGGACCCGGAGAGAAAGTCACGTGACCACAGGGCGAGAGAGACACGCAAACTCCAAATATACAGCAGCAGGCGACAGGGTCGAGATCGAACACCACGACCTCCTGCATACCCGGCGAGGTAGTTAACATCTCGCCACCGGGGCAGCAGACGCAGCGAGATGACTAGGGAAGGGGAAGGGAGGCCGGCACGGAAGTTCCCCACAAGACTGAGAACGAGGGCACGGCTCAAGACGAGCGGCGCAAAGGAGGAGCGCTGGTCGCCGAAAGGGGGAGGGAGGGCGAGAAGCCATCGTGGAGGGGGAGGGGAAGAGACGGAGATGAGAGAAGGAGCGAGCGGTAAGAGTGAGCTGCGCGGAGCGGAGTCCGTCTTCGCAGCGGGTGGTGGGGTGGTGGTGGGGGGTGAGCGATTCAGTGGGGGAGGCCACATACAAGTCGCGTGGTGTTACGGGAAGCTTGAGCTGGTTAACGTAGATAGAGATGAAAACAAGACGGCAGCAATGAAATAACAAAGAGTTGATTCTTGGGGTGAGCTGCAACACAGAATGAGGACAATCCTCCAAACTGCTGGGCGAGCCATTGCCCCGCCAACCCGAGCCGAGCAGAGGGCCACTCCTCCCCATGTGTACCCCCTGAGCTCGCGAGCCGCGTCATGGAATTCGCGTGTTCGTGGATTTAACGACTGCTGCATCCGCAGTTCCGCGCGCCGTTGTCTATCCATCGCACAAAAGAAATGAACGCACAAGCCGTTTCCATTGAGCTCGCGAAAAGCATTTGACTCCGGACGGCAGCGGGGGGGGGGTGGCGGGCGGGGTGGTGGTCGTGAAATGATCCACAGCCGCGGCCGCCAGCGCGTGTGGCTTCGCAAATAAAATCGAGCGCTGGTTTCAGAGCGAGCGAGTTCGCATTCGCGACACCGATGGCCGAATTTGGACTTTCAGATTTGGCCCTTGGCCCTGCAGCCGCTCTCATTCACCGCACGCGAAGCGCGGTCGCTGTTGTCACTGCAAGGCGGGCTTGCAGTGACGGAGACGACCGCTGGCCAAAGTGAGAAACCGTCTTAGATTGTATACGGAGGCTTTCACGGACAATGCTCCGATTCATAATTGCTTGTTATGTTTCGATAAACTCCTGTGTTGTGACCCCCCCCCCCCCACTCCACCCAGCACAGCCAGTTAATAATAGTGACACATGAACGAACCGCATTCAATGCATTAACAATCTCAGGATGCTGGATGTAATATCCAGCCAAGCGGCGTTACCCACGTGCATGTTGTGAGGCTCCTGTCCACTACCAACAACAACACCACCACCGGTGCTGCTGCTGCTGCTGTTGGAGCAGCAATGCATTTAGCGCATCGGATTCACTGCGATTAATTGGCCGTGTCGGGTGCAGGAGGGTGTACGACACAGCGTTTTAAACTATGACTTAACCCCAAAGAAACCAATTATGAATCCTTATTTTGCCAGGTCAAAAATATGCCCCTCCAGTACCCGATTAGCGTGGCCAAGATGCTCGTAGTGGTCGTTGTTTAGAAGTGGTTTGCCTCATGCCGTCACGGGCCATACGGAATGCAACCTGGAGCTGTTATCGGGCCTGTGAGCCACAGGTAACGTTGCCACCTTCCCCACAGTCCCCACCCCCACGTTGCCTCTCAGTCTACCGTCATCAAAACTGCGGTTTGCTGGAATAAATTTGAAACACGGCGGCGGCGGTACTGGATCGTAACTCTTTTGAATTGAGCGTGGTGATAATTATTCGTATGAGAGATTGAGGAGTAGAGACGGTTAGGAGGGAATTCCACGGCGGAGCAGTGCGAGGGATGAAGCAGACAGAGGAGTGTGGTGCGTGAGTGGGTGAGCGTGTGGGCGAGCGAGTGAGTTGTTGGGACCTGCAGCTTGGTGGTGGTGGTGGTTGTGGTGGAAGAGACGAAACAGTTGAGTCTGATAGACCGAGTTTCTCAACATGAGTTGAGGAATGAATGAGTGAAGTTTACGTGAACGGTAACCACGATTATGGCGATACGGGGCCTCTCTCACTCACCCTACCCATTCACCCACCAACCCACTCAATCACTCAACCAACCAACCACTCATCAACAACTCGAGAAACCGGATCCACCCACAACTCGGCCACTCCTCGTTCTCCATGGCCACCTTGACAGGTGAGGCTGGCTGGTTGTCACCTGGCCGGCGCCGTCTCTGTCCTGCCACGATCGCCACTCCTCTGTGCACCGCCCGCCTCTACAATGAACGCGGCTGGTCAAGCTGCTCCCAATTCGCAGTGAGATTTGCAACCTCCTTGTCTTAAAATAATTTACATAGCGCCTTGGTTTATAGAGCGCATTGGTTTACGCAGAACTGACAACGGCACAACGTGTGAATGTAGTGGTGGAGGCGAGGTGAATGAAATGGATGAGAGGAAGCATTGAGGGCCGAATCTGTGACGCGCGAATTCGGTGAAAGCGAAATTGATGGCAGTAAATGATGGTGAATGGATTGCATGGATGGGGTTAATGAATGATCGCCATATAATGAGAATATGAAGAGGGATAGGTAACGGTGGTGGCTATCAGGGGGAGATTAAGGGGGGGGGGGGGTCGTGGGGCGAGCTAGGGAACAATGAGTGTGAGTTGTGAGTGAGGAGCGGGAAACTTGCGAGCGAAGGTGACCGCTTTATGTGGAGGGGAAGTTTGTGCCAGGGAAGGTGGTGAGCGAGAAGGGAACAAGAGCCGAAGCGTGGCTTGAGCACAAGGGGGAGGAGGAGGAACAGAGAGAGAGAGAGAGAGCAAAGATTGAGAACGTAGAGGGCGAGAAGGCCACGCAGACAGATACGAGAGTGGCAAGACATGGTCGGGCAAGACCACGAAGGGATTTGTAGATCAGGGTGAGGAATTTGAACGGGCAACGGGATTACAGAGGGAGCCAGTGCAGCTGACATGGAGACCGCGTCATTGTATCCGAGCTTCACCAATACACTACGAACTGAGCATGTGGAAATCGGGTTCGCAGGCGCTGGAATCGGCGCGTGTATCGCGAGAATAAGGATCGATTTCAAATGATAAACTCGTGCGTAGTCACCTGCCAATTACTAATACTGACAACGCAAACAACACTGCGGTAATCAAACGCATGCCATTGAGGCCGCCACTAGAATAGTGGCCACGCGAATCTACGGTTCAAAAGGATGCATTGCTTTTTAAATGCCCATACGGAAGACAGGGAATGAATGCACTTTATATACTCGCATTACATTTAGTTCAATGGAGTGAACGAAGCTGTCTTAATAGTTACAGGAACATTTTGAAACAATACACCAGCGTGGGGTTTCACGCCTGCGTTCCAGAGACGTGTTTTCGGATCGCATGTATGTTGAACTTCTTTCGCACCGTACGTAGCCAAACCGTGCCGATGCCGCGTATTGTCCGGCACGAAGTCTTGACGATGCACGCCACGTGCTTGGCAGCTCCTTCGGGCGCCGAATTCTTACATCCTCAAGAAAGCTCCCGAAGCACGTGGACATCGTTGGCGAACAGAGCACGCGGTGCAATGCGGGAGCAGGAGTTGTTATTGTTTGACTTGCATCCCACTGGAATTTTTGCACACAGCGTTGATATACGGTGTTTTTTTTTCTGGAAGACTTTGCTGTTTTTTCCTGGATTTGTCTGTTGCGCGTAGTCACCTTAAGATGTTTCTTTGTTCATGTTTTTGTTTGTTGCGGTTGCACCCGAGTCAAGAGCCGCATGGCTCACAGGGCTACACCTCATAAATGAAACTGAAACAAACTGAAAACGCAAAGAGGCAAATCGCCACCGCGCCGGGCCGCGACGAATGCCCGGAGCCTCTTGGAGGGGTCACATCGCCACTCGCTCGGTCACATCGCCACTCGCTCGGTCACATCGCCACTCGCTCGTTCCGCGGCCCTCTCGCCGAGGCAACGCGCCCCAACTCACCCAGTGGTCTTTGAAATTCCTCGTTAGCACGGCGGGAGCAAAGGAGCGAGCCGGGTTCATGCTGCACCCGGTGAAGTTGATCTGTGAACAGCTCGGCAAAAGGGGGGGGGGGGGGGGTGATGCAAGGCACAATTCACCGCTGTTGTCGTATGAAGCGGAGCTTCACGATTATTGACATCGTCAGCCACGGTCTAGCCACTGACGGACGAAGGCTTTCTGCGCCGGCGTCGCCTTCTCTCACGGCCCTGCGATACCACAGGGCCACGAGAGCGATGTTTACTCAAAACGATGATTGGGAAAACAACTCTAGAATGGATTCACGCTGTTAAGTTTTTTTTTTATTAAGAAGTGTTCTCCAGTGTATCGGCGAGCGAGCTGACACAATTGATAATTGGCGTGCCGTTAAACGCTTCGATATACACCACGTGATAACGAAATGTGTTCGGCTACGTGGGGGGTTCGTGGAGGGTCATCCAACAGAAATCGAGGCAGCATTATTTGCCACGTGGCCTAACCCAAACGTGACGACATCAGCTGCGAAAGCCTACGCGTGCGAATCGCGTGTCTACGTAATTTTTTTGCGCGTAGCAATTTCCTCAGAAGAGCTGAATGCAAAAATGCATTTCTCCGGGACGACGGCGTGGGGCTGCGTTTAAGGTGACACGATGACTTCACGGTTGAGGCCACTGCGAGAAGGCCACCGTCTCCCGCGCTACGTGTGACCTTAAACGTAAAACTTGTGCTTAAAAAAAATAAAACTTGCCGTTCTTAAAACTGGAATAGCAAATATTGGCGCCGTCCTAATTATTTGGTTTACGATAAATGCATCGTGAAGAAGGGGTGGATGAGAAATTGGACGGTTTAGTCACACGCGATGAATGCCATCCGAGTGGGTGGCAGGGGGGGGGAGTGAGTGCGTGCACAGCCGGGCAAGGGGGTCAAAACTGCTGTGCCCCGAAACTGACCAGAAAAAAACAAACAAACAAAATGCATGCGCGAGCATTCCCGTCCGCTCTATTAATCTACATCACAATGTAATTGCTTCTCAGCATGTGGCAGTGGGCCCAGTCGTTTACGCAATTGCCCAGAGATCAAGTTGTCTGGCGCAACAGATATCCAAATATTATTTTGTTGAACCAGCGGGAAGCTGAAGAGGCCAGGATAAGTCTCACTTGCAAAGTCTCATTTGGCACGAGGGGCCTCGATCACCAAAATGACAAATGCTGAAATAAAATGAAATACGGCGATGACATGAAAACAACTGTGTCACGTTTATATTGTTACTCTTAGTTTTTTCGGTAAAGTCACGTAGGTGACTTTACAGATTTGCTGTATCAAGTGAGCTTGATACAGCAAATCTGGCTGTGACGGTCCCACCTGATGACGGAGACTTGTGTTGCCTCCGAAACGTCGTGAATTTTATTATTTTATTATTATTATTAATTTAAATTTCATTTTTTACCTATGTGACTTTACCGAAAAAACTAAGAATATGAATCCTTGCAGTCACGAAAGCTTCAAATCTAGAACGTTTATATTGCTTTGAGTGAAATGGTAATTCGGCTTCGGAGTGTATCATTGCGAAGTGGATTGAGCCTCGTGCTCACAAGAACAAGTCTTCCTGCAATGCAATGTGCCGGCAAGACGTATTTATAATTTTACTTTGTAAAAGAGTTAATTTAGCAGCGATACTTTTAAATTACGGAAGTATTTATCTGGCACTCAGTAGGTAATGAGGTAGTTATTCATATGCTCATTTAAACCTGGCCACCATAAAAATAAAAAAAAATGAAAATTTCGAATTATCGTATAATTCATTACCAGGCCCCATGGTGTACGGTGCAGTCTCTGCCCTCTCTATTTGTGCGCGAGGAAGCGGGACCATTACCCAAAATGTTTTATTTTAAGGCCCCTACAATTGTTATTGACGAATGTGCTGTTTTCTCTGCGTGTGTTTTAACACGCAATCGGCTTTCGCGACCAATATTATCCATAATAGAGGTTTTTTTGGGTTTGATTGCGTAAATATGAATGTGTCGTTAAACCCGCCACCACCCGACACGGCCAATTAGTAAGGTTTGTCACGTAAACAAAACGTGCCAATTCGTTACAAGCTCAGCACACCGGTTGTGTGTTGGAGAGCAAATCCACAACATTTACAATTCGAGTACGACGTTTCGCCAGTAATTACAGCCGGCATCATCAGGCGACAGCCGGATTTGTGGAGAAATCCTCCAGTTTCGTTCTTAAATAGAGGAGAATAAATTAATGTCGTCACCTGCGAGCCAGTCAGGTGCGAAGACCAGAGGCAGGGGGGAGGAGGGGAGGTGAATTAATTAATAAAAAAAATGACGACGGGAATGCGTGTGTTTATTCTCGTGCACCGATACTAACACAGCAGCAGCGGCAGCGGCAGCACCAGCATCAGGACAAACGAGAACCCGAAAACGTCGCGAATTAAACGCGCGCGCTCTCACAACCCCGAGTTGGCCTCTCCGCCCTCCGCCGAAGCGTCCGTTCGTCGCGGGCGAGCCGCTTGCGAGCGGAGCCCCACGGCGCCGTCGGTCGTCTCACCGCGAACAGGTGGCCCAGCGCCACCGCGAAGCCCACGGCCAGGGGCAGCGAGCCGCCCACGTCGCGACGCCGCGAGTCCGTGGACGCGAGGACGCAGAGGACCAGCGCGAAGGTGATGAGCACCTCCACGCCGAAGCCCTGCGCGTGGGTCACGCCGGGTCCCAGCTGCCGGGAGGGGAGGGGGGGGGAGGTTAAGGTGCAGGCCCTGCAATAACTTGGTCGCGACACCGGCCCGGCGGAAAGAGTTGTCCACCACGGTGAGTTCTGGAGGAGCCAAACTTCTAAGATGTTGATAATTGTTTTTTTACCCTCTTATCTGGCAAACAAACTGACACCTTTTTTACGTGTGGACCAATCAACTTCAAGGACAGTGCATACATTATCAGAGTTATGTTTTTTGTTTGCATTATGACTGCAGGTATTGTGGTCTATGCAAACATGACTCCTCGTAAAAAAGGTGTCAGTTTTGTTGCCAGATAAGAGGGTAAAAAACAATTATCATATTTTTTACTGGCAAATGAGGTACCAATGGTTCTAAGATGTTGTTTTGGCCTACTCTTCCATGTCAGCGGTGCATGTGCACAGGTCTGCATGGTGCTAGATCCTCCGTGAGCCGAAAACAGAGGCCGAGTGCATGAGTCCTTTTGTGTGGTACACAGCAGATCTACAGACCAGACCCTCACGGTACCATACCTGTCAACCCCTTATCAGTGCCCTACCTTATTGCAGACCAATTCAGACCTTATAGGTCACCCCGTGCCTTTATAAATCTCAACGTTCATCCTACAAAGTCCCATCACAAGGGAGAATTTTTTTATGTTTTACAACAAAAATGTTTTACTCAATTTCCATGTACAAGAACACCGTATGGGTTGGCAGGTATGCGGCACAATCTTGATTTTAAGCTTTCGTGACTGCAGGAATCCATACTCTTTGGTTCTTTCGGTAAAGGCAGACCATGCTTTCGCACCTGATGACGGACGCTTGTGTTGCGCCTGAAACGTCGTGATTTAATTTATGTTATTTTATACCTACGTGACTTTACCGAAAGAACCAAAGAGTATGGGTTTGCGGTACCTCCCCGCGGAACCCATGGCAGCAACGAGGCACTGGAGCACCGAGGCCACGGGTTGCCAACCTGCGGCTCCGGAATCCGCATGCGGCTCTTGAAGGACCGCTGCTTCATGACGTCATTATTTATTTATTTATTCAGGACCGCCGTCTCGTATTCACGTTGCATTGCGGCTCTTGAAATCTTGATAAAACATTTTTTTTTACCGAATTAGCAGCAAAAAAATTGCTACTCTTGTGATTTTGGTTTCCGATCCCTGACATAGTCTCAACCTGCAAGGGCTGTCGTAGAAGGAGATTTGAGTTCAAACCGGGGCAGCAGAGAGAGCTGGCTTCGCTGCCCCAGCTCGTCAGCAATAGAAAGGCAGGTGGACTAGGTGAGGGGGCGGGGGGTGACGCTGATAACTGGTTCCCAATTCGAAGATGAATGGTCGTGGCACAGCTACCGATGACGATCACCTGACCTGATCTTCCACTACCGGGCCAGACACCTTTGGAAGAGGTTGGGAGTAGCCCACACTTTACCCAACGACCCGCAATGACCGGGTATTGCTTTTGAGGTTGCGTATTGAGATGTGGCTTGCGTTGAGACGCCGCACACGTCGCAAATTGTATTGCGTCACCACCCGGAGAGCGAGCAAAACTAAAAACAAACATTTTTTTGTTCAACACAAACGAGGGGAGCCGCGCGCGCGCGTTAGCGACGACGGCTGCGCACGTGGCGCGCGCTGCGCGGGTGTTTTTGGCGTCGGAGCGCTGTGGATGAGCCTTGATCCCGTGCGCGCGGGAGCGGCCGCTAATCGCTCCGGACGGGAGCTTTTGTGGTTGGAACGCGCGGCCGACGGCTGTGGCCGCGGGGCTTCGCTGCGGCCGGCGGCCTGCACTCCCCCCCTCCCTCCCCCCGTGGAGATTAGCGACCCGTAATCCGGCGGTGAATGACACCGCGCGGTGTGCACAACTCCGGACACAATGAGGCTGACTTTTTTGGCTGAGCACGGACGTTTTTACGGATCGGCGATCGCAGTGCCTGCAACGCGCTCGGTTGGGCCGCGCAAGGCGCTACCGATTTTTCTCTGGCGCACAGGTGACGTGAGCCGGTTGGGTTAATCGACTGGAATGAAAGAGCCAATGTGCGGTGATTCATTGGGGTCGCCAACTTTTTCCACTGCAGACCGAACGCGCTTATCTCAGTGAGCACTACGTATATTGCCAAAACTGTGCAATTAACCATAATAAGGTTCAACGCAACACTGGTGCCAGGTTATGTACAAATCAATTCTTGCCACACGAACACAGATGCCAATTCTCAGACTGTCCGAGTCAACTGTTGCCCTTTGTAGACCGGACAGGTGGCAACCCCGAGTGACGATGCTGTGCCAGCGCTGGGCTCATGGCAGACCAGCGCCTCCGGGAACATGCATGGCCTGCAAACGCCCGTGTGACAGGGAACGCATTGACGATGGGCAGACCTCCCCAGAGACCCTGGTTGACGGAGGATATGTTCCGACTGGCTGAGAAAAAACGCCAGGCCCATTCCCGCCGTCTACAGCATCCCATGTCGGACCATGAGGAGTTTTGCCGCAGCCTTCGCTGGGAGGTTTGGAGAGCTGTGTGGTGCTTCAAGGATGGGTGTTGCTGAAGAGATGGAGTCTGCCTCAGTAGCCCGAGATCACACTCTTTAACTCTATAAAAATGTTTTACTTGCAGCGTCACACCTATCACCATCATTCGGGGAAAGAAAGGTGATCTGATCTCGACCCCCAGGAACAGGTTTGCAGATTTGCTGAGCATTTCTGTGAGGTCTTGGGGGAGAGACAATCCCTCAGCCTGGAAAACATGATGGGGCAAAGTGGGGATGACCCTGCCGAGGCTGCGGTGCCTCAAATATTGTAAGGAGTAGTCACCCCCTGTGAGTGGCTGGCTGAAGTGTCTTCTGATGAGGAAGTACGGAAGGCAATCCAAAGTCTGAGACCAGGAAGAGAGCCAGGCAGAGATGATCTCCCAAGTTAAATGCTGAGGGATATTGGTGGTATTTGTGTGCAAACTGGCCTATATGACATAATAATAGTCTGGACCACTGGACAGGTTCTATAGAATGGGACGGATGCCTTAATAGTCCCCCTATTTAAGAAGGGGGACCGCAAAGACTGTAACAACTACAGGGGCTTCTCCCTTCTCAGTGTGCCAGAATAGTTATTGGAAAGGATTATTCAACATCGACTTGCCAGGCACGCTGAGAAGAGAATTGCGGAGCCCCAATGTGGTTTCAGGCCAGGGCGGTCATGCACAGATGACACATTTTCTGTCCATCTGTTACAGCAGAGGTGTCGGGAATTCCAACAGGATCTACTTCTCTGCTTTATTGACCTGGCCAAGGCCTATAATACCATCAATAGGCCTGGGCTCTGGGTTATTTTTCGTGCTTTCGGAGTCCCTGACTCTCTGCCCACAATCATTAAGGATCTTTAGGCCGGGTAAAACTACATGGCCGGGAGTCGGAGGCATTCCCTGTTCACGTTGGGGTGTGACAGGGATGTCCTCTGGCTCCCACATTATATAACATCCTTTTTGACTGGGTAGTTCGTGAAGCCTTCTATGGCTGTACTGGAGGAATCTCCATCTGCTACAGATACAATGGGAGGCTAATTGATGCCCGGGTGCGGTCAAGGGATGGCTCCCTATTAGTCAACCATGTTATGTGTGCCGATGATCTGGTGATTGCTGCTCACTTAGAGGAGGAGTTGGAGGTGCTGCTGTCGAATCAGGAGCATGCCACTACGAGATGGGGCCTTACCATCAGCCCCACCAAAACTAAGCATCTGCCTGGGTATTTTGTGCGATCAAACACTCCACCCTCTCAACTTCCCATTGGCGATGAGGCAGTTGTGGAGACAGTGGAAAGTTTTCCATACCTGGGCAGTGTGCTTATGATCAGCTCTCGTTTTACAGCAGAGGTCTCACTCTGAATCAGTTGAGCGGCATTATCCTTTCATCGGCTGCGTAACACTGTGGAAGCTACCTGGTCTGTCGCTCCACATGAATCTTCGGCTCTTCTCGGCCACGGTCATGCCCTCCCTTCTCTATGCTTGCGAAACGTGGGCCCCCCTAATGGAACATCTTAGCCGGTAGAAACATTTAGGCTGGCCTGCCTACGATCCATCCCAGGTTTATCCAGGCTGGATTGTGTGAGGAGCTCACAAATCCTGAAAGATTTTGCAAGTCAAGTCTGCATTAACCACATTGGTGAGCTCCTCTCGCAGGCAAGGCTACGTTGTCTGGGTCCTGTACCCCGCATGGCCAGCCACTGCATACCTAAACAGCTTTTGTTCGGCCGGATAGAGGGGGCTAAACGAGTACAACACGGGGTAGAGAAGAGATGGAGTGATGTGGTATAAGAGCATATGGAGCTGAGTGGACTTGCCAATGACTAGTACCAGCGGTGTCAAGATCGGCCTCTGTGGAGGAGGCTCATGAAGGACGCTGCTACTGGGCAGTTGGAGGTAGTCGCCCTCCAGCAACAACGTAGAGCAAAGGAACGACGCTCACAACAACGAGCGGAGCGCCGGTTGGCTAAAACAAAGCAAGTTGGCACAGTTGGGGGCACAGTGCATCGACAGTCTTCTCAGTCAGTCAACTCATGGCACCTGGGTCTGTCCCGTGACATCCTTCCAGCGGGCGTTCGACACTTGACGTGCCCTCAAAGTGCACTTAGCGCCGTGGTGACGTCAATGGGGCCTCATGCTTAACTAAATAAAAATCATGATTTATATCACTCTATCGCGTTGTCAACCATCCTAGAATCTCATCAGATCCGGAAGAACGCCAGTGAGCAGAGTGGAACAACGCAGACGTCCAGAATGAACACCTCACTCGACACACAGTCACAATTGCACCTCCCGGCTTTGACATTCCTCCATCTAAGACTCCGGTGGTGAAACCATCAACCGCATGAGAACATCAGTAGGCCGATGAGCAACATCTCCTTCATCAACGGAAAAACTATTGGCCAAAACACGCGGTGCGATTGTGGCCATGTAATCCAAACTATGGACCACGGACTAAACCGCTGTAGTCGGTTGCTCCTTCAACGGAGGCAGTAACAGCAAAACCACACGAACTCTGAACTCTTGAAGCCCTCTCTGGTCGTGGCGAGCAGACCTCGGGGGGGAGCACATTTAGCTCGTGAACCACAGCGCCACCATGCATAAGAAATAGAAAGCACACAGTGCCGAAGGCCCCTCGCCCTCCCCATGAGAAATCCGCTCGTCACGGCGCACAAGGAGAAGAGGTCGACGTCGTCTCAACAGAGACACGGGGTGGGGGGAGGGCACGACCATGAGGATTGTGCTGTCTCTGTGCGGGTGCGGAGGCTCCCTACCGAGTTGAGGCCAAGGGAGCCGCGCTGCACGGCAGGGGTGAGGCCTGTAGAGGAGGCCGCAGGCCGCCAGGGCCCCGCTCACCTGCGCCACCATGTAGAAGAGGGCGCGTGGCGCGCTCAGCCGGCACCCCACCTGGGAGAGAGAGAGAGAGCGAGGGGTCAGGCATTGGAGGGGGGGGGGGGGGAGTGGCACTTACCTCGGAGAGAAAGAGGTCAGGCATTGGGGGAGCGGGGGGGAGCACTTACCTGGGAGAGTAATAAACCGATAATCGGTAGAGTGATCGATAACTTCCATAGCCCTGTAATCCTACAGCACAGCTAGCTCCAGGGTCCACCAGTAGGCGTTGGGTCTTGTTCTGCAGCCCGCAAGTGACCTTCAAGCACCACTCTTACATTCTTGTGCAGGTTGACTCAGGTGTCTCTTGAAATGTCTCAAAGGGCCCTCACCTGGAGTTGAATAAAGAAAATGTGCGTGTGTGTGTGTGTTCAGGCTGGGAGCTGAGTGTGCGTGCAAAGAGACCTCCACTGGGACTTTAAGGGGCTTCTAAAAGAGGCCTGTGTCTGTGCCTCTCTGTACGTGTCTCTGTAAGTGTCTTAGTCTCTCTGTATGTGTCTCTGTGTCTGTCGCTGTGTCTTTCTCTGTTTGGCTCTGCTCCTCTGTGTGTTTTTGTTTGTCTTCATCTCTGTTGCTCTGTGTCCCTCTGTGTCCAACTCTGCATATCTCTCGTGTTTATGTCCATGTCTCTGTGTGTCTCCAGATGTGTGTGTCTGTGGCTGTATCTGTGCATATGGTAGCTTCGTCCTCATCACTGATTCTGTCTCCATGTGTCTTTGTACAGCTATTTATATCTCTATGTATGTGTGTACGTGACCGTGTCTTTCTGTTTGTATCTCTGTGTATTTACGTGTTAGTTTCTATGTCTGGATGAATGTATGTACGTGTTTTTGTCCCTGTGTTTCCATCTCTAGGCATGTCTCTCTGTCTCTATGTCTGTCTCAAGCTGCGTTTCTCTATTTCGTGTGCAACATTCACCCATTGGACGTTTGTGCGGCAGGGTGGCACACGGCAAGAAGGACCTGGGGTAGATTCATGATTCGGACGCCTTTCTGCGTGGAGTTTGGTACATTCTCCCCTGGTACTGCGTGGATTTCCTCCGGCTTTCTCCGCTTTTCTCCCCATAGCGAAGCAAAAATCGAACAGTGTGACCGGTATTGGCCAAATCATCCCAATGCTGAAGAATAATTACCAGTAAATTACTCAATTGGGATCGCATGCAGCAGAAGCAGCACCATCACCCCCGACTGCGAAAACTTGGCAGGACCCTCCTGAAAACGAATCTCGGGACTGAGTGAGGCTTTCCTGGGTAAACTAGCATAATAATTATATTATGAGAACAAATACAATACAGGGACAATAATAACGTCAGTAAGAAATTATTCGAAGAGAAAGTTTAAAACATATATAATATTTTATGCATTATAAACTCGTATTAATTTTAACCATGCAATTGGTAAATCAATAAATAAATGACAAAGCACGTAATTGCTGTTACATATGTAAATACTATTGTTTTAACCAGGTGAGAACCAGGGTGAGTGTCATTTGCCAAAGTGACCAGGGGGCATTGACCTGCCAGTAGAGGGCGATGCTGGCTGTGCATCGCCACAATTGAGCAATTGCGCAAACATTAGACCCTGGCGCTGGTGGAAGCTTATCCCAGACAATTGTGATGCCCCAACATCTCCACGTCTTCATACCTCTCCGAGTGTCGATCTGCCTCTCTATGTTTTCTCTCTCTCTCTCTATGTCTCGGTGTCCCTCTGTGTCTCTCTCTCTCTTTGTCACTTCGCGTCTATTCCAATTCTCTCTTTGGATGACTCCCTCCCGCGTCCCCCATGTCTCCTCGACACAAGGTACAACAGAGATTGTCGATGCCCGTGCTGCAGCACACAAACAAACTCAGCCCTCGCTCGCATCAGCCCGTCTTGAGTGTTCGACCCTCACACAGCGCATCTTGCAGGTATCGTCTGGCACGTAGATGAGATTAGGGCATTAGCGGGGTCGTGGATTAGCTGGCGGTCGTGTTTATATTTATTACCAGGAGGTCGCCCGCAACGGTGTAATAAACCGCGAGCTTTTACATTGCACCGTAAGCGTTCAAAGGGATAGTGGTGCCTTAATATCACTCGATGAGCCTCATGCTTTAACATTGACTCCCCTATAACATGCAAAGATGCCCCAATCAGACTCAATCAGCCTCATGCGTGAATAGTGAACCCCGTGACGTCTAAATGTGCATTAGACTGGCTCTATGAGCCTCAGGTATTCACAATTAACATACGGATCCTAAAGGTGCCTAGTAGCTTTTGTCTCTGTGTGCTAAGGTATCATCTGACCAACACCACCTGGCTAGTGAATTAAGAAATACCATGGCAGATTTGCAATGGCATTTCTGCCATGGCATTTTTGCCATGGTCAGAAACACCATGGCAGAAATGCCATGGCATTTCTGACCATGGCATTTCTGACCAACACCACCTGGCCAGTGAATTAAGACATGTACATCGTCACGTAATTTTTTATTCTTATTTCACTGGCCATGTCATTTCTGACCAACACCACCTGGCTAGTGAATTAAGAATTGTGTGTGCCTCCGAAACATCGTGATTTATAATTTTATTTCTATTATTATTTCTATTATTTTAACTTTTTTATTATTATTTTTACCTACGTGACTTTACCGAAAAAACCTAAGAGTAATTATGTTCGTCCTTGTGGAGAATTTAATAGTTAAGCAAAGCATTTAAATAAGCAAAACAGTTGGCTCCTTCAATCAAATTTTGGATTCTTCACGTAAAAAAATGAAGTTCTTTCTTACAAAACCAATCGACCGCACGGCCTTCTGGGACTGCTAATTTCAGCAGCATTGATTCAACACATCGGAGCACAATTCAACAGTGGGATTTACTACCCCGCCCCATCTGCTGCACTGTCACGTGGCCTCGCGGCCTATGGGTCCCCAATCCCCGGGCCACGGACCGTTACCGGTCCGTGGCCTGTTAGGAACCGGGCCGCACAGCAGCAGAAGGAGGTGAGAGTGGTGAGTCCGCACGTGGCCCGCCCATGATTTTATTAACCACTTCCGTCCGCGCCTCTTTCCAGCACTGCGCACTTGTCTCAGTCACAGTGTTGGTAAGCCCACAAGCTCTAACCCCTAGCCAAAATGAGTAAAAAACAAACATCGCTGAAGAGCTTCTTTGAACAGGGGGAAAGACCCAATGATTAACCCCCAGTCCGTGAAAAAATTGTCTTTCACGAAACCGGTCCCTGGTGCCAAAATGTTGGGGACCGCTGGCCTATACCACCTATTGTGCATGATGGTCGTCCTTTTCAAGCACTTATCCAAGTTCAACACCCCACTTATCTTTCGAGATCTGGCGAAATAGATCGGCGATTCGGTGAATATAAATCGAGATCGGAACGAAGGGTGGAGCGGTGGCGCAGTGGTTAGCGCGCCGCGCTGCGAAGCCAACCGACCTGAGTTCATTCTCGGGTTCGTGGCTAACGTCGGTGCGGGTTGAACGGATTCCCAGGACCCGTTTGTAATTTTATTCGCCACTGCTGTGAGCCCTGGAGGGGATCTGAACTCTGCTTGCCGGGTTCATGTTTATTGCGGCAAAACTATGACGAGGTGACACAATGTCATGATGCGTCGGCGTAGAGCATTATATAGTTAAAGAGCCCAATCGCAGCCCCTGTCATGTCGCTCCATACACATACATGCAATATGCTAAACGTGCTTTTAGTCAATCCCCTTTTGGCTTCGCCGCGCCAGTGTCGCCGAGCAGCGCAAGAGAAACTCTGCACGGGTTTCCACGCGCTTGCTTCCATCGGCGGGCAGTGCCAGGCAGGCTTGTCAAGCGAACGGCGCTCAGAAGAAACGCCTCCGCGGACTCGACGGGACGCCCATTGAGCTCGAAGGGCAGTGGCCGCGTTCACGGCCGAGTTCGTCGTGTTCACAGGGAATACACGGCGACTGCCCGTGCGTGGTACGTTGACGAGGGTACCCCATTCACCCCCCTACGGGGGTGCGTCTTACGATCCGCCACGCGTGTGCCGAGCACGTGCGATACGAGATGTGCGTCACTTCATTGACACCGAGGGTAACTTTGAAGGACTCATGGGACGAAATATGCTATTGTTTATTGATGTTTGGTGACGTGCTCATCATTTTCTCTCTGTTGTTTGTAGTATTGTTTGCTGTTGCAATTGGCTGACCCCGTGCCCATAACTGAAAAAGAGCTTTACAGCTCATCGGATTTATTCTACAGTTTAAATAGAGATTCTGAAGCGGGGGGGGGGGGGTCTTACTTTCCGAAGCTTAGTCCGAAGAATGCGCTAGCTAACGTGGACGAGGCTTGGCGGCGTACCAAATTGATGCCTGAAAGATGTTTGCACTGCTCGAGCACATTGGCACGACAAGAAAGTAAAACAAAAATGAAGAAATGTGCAGTGGACACCTTACGGGCTACCTGCCCCATGGATCGTGATGATGATGAACGTGGATGGGTAAAAGAATTCCCCAAGTGGTGGGGGATTGAGGGAGGGGGTGCAGAAGGTCAAAAAAGTGTCACACCCACCAGGAGGCCAAACGTGACGGCAGGGTTGAGGTGTCCACCGCTCACGTGACCCACGCACTGCACCAGGGTGGCCACCGCGAGCCCGAATGCCAGAGACACGCGCACGACATCCACGGAGCCGTCGGCGCGTCCCCACCTGAGTGTCGAGCCTATCCCGAGAGCCACCAAGGCGGCCGTGGCCAAGAATTCCGCGAAGACCGCTCGCCAGAAAGGTCGAGAGCGCAGCTCGGAGGCCATCGGAGGAGATCGGAGCGAGCGGATTCGATGACGGGATGGTGGCGGCGGCGGCTGGGAAGGTCGAGGTGCCTGCGCAGGTGAGGAAGGTGAGACGTTGAGAGGGTCGATGGATGGATGTCTCGGGGAAGGGCGTTGGTTGGGGCTGCTTCGACGGACGGATGGGCTATGTCCACGCTTGTCAGAGGACAGGCGCGGAGCGTGGATAGGCGAGACGACGACGATGATGTCCGCTTTGGAGCTCGGTATAGTTAAAGTGGAGGCGACAGGAGACGAGGGAGAGACGCGCGCGCCCAGAGAGAGAGAGAGAGACACGGGGTGCGCTGAGTGTCAGCGGAGTGCGGAGTTGGCATTGAGCGCCGCGCTGGTGGTGGCGATGGTGGTGGAGGGGGGGGGGGGGCTCGACTTTATATTCACGCACGCGCCAACACTCACACTCGCGCGCACACAGATTACACACACGGATTACACGCACGGATTACACACACGCAAACGTACACAGACAAAGATTCCCCGTAGAGCCTACGCAGGCTGGTGGGGCAAGTGTTATTAGCGAGTTCCAACGAAGGCCGGAACGGCACGCGAAGGGGAGCGGTGGTGGGCAAAACCACACCCGACCGCCTTTGTCTCTCCAGTGGCGATGTTTTCACATCGCACCAGGTACTAATTTAAGGCTGAGTTGACCGAGGGGAGGCCCAGCATTGGGTCAGATGTTGGCCGTGAGCTGGAATCGAACTCAGGTCGACGGGTTCGCAGCGCAGCGCGTTAACCGCACCACAGATGCTCCCCACTTATGCAGACTATCAAGACATCGTGGACACATATTTTTTTACACGCGCAAACATATAAAGACAAAGCCCCCCCCCCCGTGTAGCCTTGAAGACTTTTAGAGCAAGTAAAGAAATGCCAACACGCCACGCACAGACACGTACCGACACACGTTAAAATATACGCACGCTTACACAGACATGCAGGCGCATAGACACAGGCCGCCTTTGTCTCCCAAGTGGCAATGTTGACACACCGCATCGGGTACTCATTTGAGTTTGAGTCGACGTAGGGGAGGCCCAGGACCGGTTCGTCGCGGGTGTTGGGCGTGAGTACGTGGCACAGCGCGCGCTAACCGCTACACTACCGCTCCCCACATCAACAAACACACACAAAATACAGATATATTCGCATACACAGACACACATACGCCTACGCATAGATATATATACAGCATATATAAACTCAGAACCATATATAGTATATACATAGATCACCCATGTTTCCAATAAGACACGAACACACATGGCCACACAGACGCATACGCAAATATTCACACACACGCGCACAAAGAATCATAGATTATACAGATACAACACAGATTAAAATACTCACACACACACACGGGCGCGTAGACTAAACACGCAGTCACGCGTACTTTATTACACAGTCACGCAGATACTGAATATCACCCTCACACACGGTAACACAAAGTGACACACATGCACAGTCGCTCACAAAGACAAAGGTCCCCCGCATAACTTTTAACAGACTGTTGGGGCAAGTGCTGTTAGCAAGCAGCTATGAAGGCTGGCACGGTAACACAAGAGGGTGGGTGGTCAGCACCACGCCCGGCCGCCAGTGTTGATGTTTCGCACGCCTCACCAGGTACTTGTTTGAGGCTGAGTCGACCGTAGGGGAGGCTGCTAGGACCGGTTCAGATAACCGTCACCGATCTTAGCCGTGAGCGGGAATCGAACTCAGGTTCGGCCGGGTTCGTATATCGTGTAGTGCGCTAACCACTGTGCCACCGCTCGCCACCTAGTCTCACGCACCACACGGCCACTCACTAACAGAGGGGTCCAGCAGGAGGTTGGAAGGCATCGGAGGTGTTGGCCACGGCCATCTCTCAACATTGACCCCAAGGCTTCCTCTTTGGACAGGTTCCTTCTCGCAGTCGCGCAGCTCCACGCGCAGTGCGGACTGGCATGCAACGTGGCCAGCAAACAAGAGAGCAATGGTCGTAGTCCATCGGGCAAGGAGGGAACGCTTTCCTTGAAGTGAACTCAGTTTAGACAACCAAAAATCCCGTGGACAGAGATCGATGAGAGTGAGTTTCCAAAGTTGAGGAGTGTGATTGCAGGATGTTGCGCACATGATGGACGGTTGGAGACGGTGATAGTCTGAATTTGCCAAATTAAAAAATGACACCGCAAATTCATCGATCGGGATTACTGCATACCCACTGCAGCAATTAACGCCCCCTACCGGCAGACTAATGCCACCCCCCCCCTAACACTTACAAACAAGACTCATCTTGGTATCTTGAGTTCTCAAACTGGTGAAACACAAAATGAGCTTGAAACTTAGTAGAACAAGTCCTTGATATTGGCGCAGGTGTCAAGGCCCGAAGGTCATGGGATACATCGGCGGTGGAAGTAGCGACTGCACTTTCAAAGCCCAGGGTCAGCTGATTAAGCAGCCTCACTCGCGCCTCCTGAGTCCGCGAATCGAGCAAAACGTCGCCGTGCCATGAATCCATGCGTGACAAGTCCCCATTCGCCAGTGAAGAGGAGCTTTATTGGTGAGAATTTGAACGGCACATGGGCATCGTATGAATCATATCTTTGCAAACGTGACAACGCTGTCGGGTGGTGAAGGGTTCACGACAATAATGTTGGCATACAATCACAGCCACGTGGCATCCAAATTTAAATGTGGATCACGGAGGAGCATCTATCGACCAAATTGCGTTTGCTGTGAGTGTCGTTAGCTCGCTGACACAGGGAGGGTGATGCACGTTGACCACATGGGCGCTCATAAACTACGTCGGTTGAAGGTTCAGAGCCACTGAGTCAGAGCCACTGAGATCCAGGGTTAGCATCCAAACAGTCACGTGTGATTAAACCAGGTTCTCAAATGTAGGGAGTTGATGGTGTCAGCCCAGTCACTCTTGATCGCATAAATTAAATTAAATGCATTTTTCGAATTCGTTTCGCAGTATTTAATCTAAAAAAGTTAAAAAAATATTCCATTGATTGATATGCTGATGCAAGGGGTGGGCAACCACAATAATGAGAAAAGCCATTTTCTTTCAAATGTGGAAAAAAACACTCAATGCAAGACGATCCTAAATATAATAAATACATTCACGAAGCAGCGAGCGATTGTAGCGCTGCACTTTCACTCTTCATTTATCCTGGGAAGTGTCTTGAATGTTTTTTGTTTAACCAGGATCCTCTGCTAGCACGTTAGGCCAAAATAGTTTTCACAAAGTGTTTTGCAATTGGGAGGGATTTTTTTGTTCACGCGAGAAGATGTACAGAGCCGCTTGCCATACTGCCGTCTACTGGCCACCACGCAGCGCAGCGGCTTTGGGGAGTTTCATCACATGAACCGCAGCGGGCACCTATCAGAGAATGGAGACTAACGGATGGCATCGGTGGCTTTGCATTGCCACGTGGAGGGGGTTGGGGGGGTGGGGGGGGTTGGGGGGGCAGGAAGAAGGGGCCGTCCACGCCAGGGGTGGATTGACGGCCTAAAGGAGGCCCGACTTGAAACAAAAAAAAAAACAAATGGGCCAGCAGTAAAAACGATCGCCACGACCGGGGGGAAATAAAGGCGCTGAAGAAGTTGGTCCGGCCTCATCGTCAGCCGCCGTGCGATGATTGAAATAAAGAATGCGAATGACAAGCCCCTTCTCTTGCAAAAAGTTGCGTTACACGATAAACGCCGCTCTCTGCCCGACTCGTTCCCTCCTCAAAAAAAACATTCGCTCACCGGTGGCGGAGGAGCGTGCACGGGTTGTGAGCACAGCAGGAAGATGCCCACCAACACTGGAGTTTAGAAGTGCCCTAGTTATAACAACACCGTCAGGTGCATGATCGTATGCTCCCCAGACCACGCCACAGAGAGCCAATCAGGCCCTTCTCGTTTCACACTACAAAATAAACTATTTTTTTTATTTGACCAGGTAAGGCCCCACTGAGCTATATAACAATTTTGCAAAAGCGTCCTGGCCACAAATGATAGCTCAACGAAGCGGCTCATCACGTGCAAATCTATAGCAACCGAATACTGCAAACGCATGGGGTTTCTAAATGTGACGGGAAAAACCGGAGGACCCGGAGGATAATCGACACGACCACGGGGAGTGCGGGCGCGGCGGCTCCGGACAGCGGCGCTAGCGACTGGCGGGACAAGCTGTGCACCTCCGCGGTCCCGATGTCGCGGCACGCGGCGCACACGCATTGCGGCTCTTGAAATACTGAGTTTTTTTCATTTTGACCGGATTCGAACAAAAAAAAAAGGCTTTTCTTGTTATTTTGGTTACCGAGCTCTGAGCTATGGCGAAGGATACCGGAGAAAAAAAACACACCGCGAAGAAAACCCCCACGGGGCAGCGAACTTGACAAAGCAGACGAATAATAATAACAATAATCACATAACGGCCATCGGCGAGCCCTCCCCACGGACTCATCCCTCCGCCTCGGGCTTCACGGCGGACACTTTGGAGTGGCGCTTGGGGATCGCGGGCGCGGCGGCCACGCCGGGCAGCGGCGCCAGCGACGAGCGGGACGCGCTGCGCGCCTCCGTGATCTCGATGTCGCGGCACGTGGCGCACGCGACGAGGCGGTCGCGGTTCGCGGCCGACGAGAAGACGAGGTCGTGAGCGGCGGCAGCCAGGAGGCCGCCCAGCAGAGGCCCCATCCAGTAGACCTGCGGTATGCAGCGTGGGGACGTGGGGACGTGGGGGGGGGGCGTCGCGGGGGCCACACTGTGGTCGAGTACGATACTGCAGGTCACAATAACTCGTTCACTTACTCACTCATTCAGCACAATGAAGGTCACGACAACTCGCCCATCACCACACCGCAGGTCACAACACTGACAACAGCCGTGCTCAAATCCAGAGATGTGATAACTCTTATCGAGTCAATCTTGATTTGAAGAGTGCTTTTTTCTTGTTGGTTGAAAGAAGTTTAACATACATACATACAGGTGTGGCAATGATGACTCGATTAATTTATATTGATTTTAAGCCTATAATGCCTGCAACTAAATTATAAATTTTTTTCAACACGTTATTATTTAACCATTTATCCAAATACTATTGAGGCTAACAGAGAAAACTAAACTGTACAAGTGAGACAGAAAACAAATTAAACAACACAAACGAGACAGTAAAGAGACAATACTTTTTTTTAATTACTCAGCAATCCCAACTGGTGAGTGATTAATTGAATGATGCATTGCAAGAGGTCTGGACGGCTGCTTGTTGTGACAGGCCAACAGCATGCTGCGTGTGGGAGGTGCGTGGCACTGCACGCTCTACGTACCCAGTGGTGTTTCCATAATCCGCACACGAGTGCTGGTCCAAACGACCGCGCTGGATTGAGGCTGCCTCCCGAGAACTTCTCCTGCAGAGGAAACGAGAGGTGTAGCGTAAAACCAAACCACGATACGCTGCTGCCCTCACAAAACAACTGAAACTGGCTCGGGGCCAAGCAGGGCCAGGGGTACGCAGCCAATGACATCGCCTCATCGCCAACACGCGTCTCGACCCGGTCGTTACGCGTGACGCCAACGGCTTGGCTCAGCTTCCGCAGTGGAAAACCAACCCGGAGCCTACCTGAGCAAGTGCCCGGTTTGGATTGACACAGCACTGGCACGGCTCGGATATTCAGTGGAAAAGACGTTATCAGATTCATGAGCCCTCTTGCGTTTCCAGTGTCCCGTTAAAACCCGTGAAACTCTGGCCGGATCGCCTGGGCCCTCTCTGTGCCGCGTGGCCCAGCCGGGGCGGGCGGTGAGAGACAAACCGAGGCGAGGATTCCGGCGCCCAGTGCCAGCCCGACGGGCAGCGGCCCCGCTTCCCCGGAGCGGCGCACGCGGTGCTCCTCCCCGGCGAGCGCGCTCAGCACCAGCTGGAAGCTGCAGAGGAGCTCGGCAGCCAGCGCCTGCCCCGCGTTGCCCTCGCTGCCAATCTGCGGCGAGTGAAACACGGTGGGGATTTTGTGAAGGGTCAGCCAACGGACGTTTCATGAAGCTACCGAATGTGCTGGTTGGGCCGGAACTGTTGTGTGAAAAGGTGGTCCCACTGTGCTGAAGAGTGAGCGAAAACTGGGACTTTGACCCGGTTTGAAATGTTCTGGCATGAGGTTGAATTGTGAAAAAAGAAATCAAAATAAAAAAGAACAGTGCAAAATAAACCAAAAACATACATTAATATAACTGTAAGGTTCAAATAAATGACTGAAATCTATAGTTAGACATGTTAAACTAATGCTTGACAACTGTAAGTTGTTTATAATGTAGAATATTAGTTTGATGTCATTATAACGGCTGCTAGTCTCAATTTTTTTTTATTCACGATTGCAAATGAAACATTCAATGATGTGAAATTAGACTTGGACAAGACCGTCAGCGATAACAAAGCTGAGTCTTCACTGGATAATTAAAGGGCATTCATGTTATTATGTATTTGCCCGTGATACCATTCCACTTTATTGGAAACTAGGGCCCATGGCACCACCCCCACTCCCCCCAGTTGCTACATAGGTCAGGGAAAGGGCAGCGTTCCCATCTTCTAGAGAGCTCTTTCACTCACAGCACAGTCGTATTATCCGACTAAGCCAGTGGTTCTTAACCTTTACGGCAGCCTTGCACCCCTTTCGTTCTTAATTGTTAAAACATGAATCATGTTCATAAGTACAAACGTTTGATGAAACAAAGTAGTCGTACTTACCTTGCCCGTGCTTAATTTGTGTTTTCGATGATTTACCTTCTAAAAAAACAATCTGGCAATGTCTCGCACGCCCCCCCCGCCCCCCAGAAAGGGCATCTCACACCCCCCCCCCACACACACAACGAGGCCTCCCACTGTCACCCAGCGCGGCCCAGCGAGCAGAGCAGAGCAACCAAACCGACCGACTGACGGCGATAACCCCACAAACGCGACGGGGGAGGAAGAGAGACGAAGAAGAGGAGGGGAGGGGGCACATTCAACACAACGCGTTGACGGGACGCCGGGAGACTCCACTCACCGACGTGACCAAGTACTTTCTGCCGGACCGTTCCGGCAGCAGCAGGGCAACCACCCCGGCCGCCAGGACCGCGCCCAGGCACTGCGCCAACACGTAGGCCACCGAGGGCAGGGCCCCAAGGCGGCGCGTGCACAGCAGGGCCACCGTGACGGCGGGGTTGAGCTGCGCGCCGCTCGCCGGTCCCAGGCTGTGGGACAGCGCCGCGCACGAGAAGGCGGCGCTCAGCGCCACGGGCAGGGAGGCCGCCGCGCCACCGACGCAGCCGCAGCCGCAGGCGGCGTCGGCAGAGGGCCCTTCTCCCGTCGTGCCGGGCCAGGCCGCGCCGAGCACGGCGAGGACGAGGAGGAAAGTGCCCACGGCCTCGGCGAACGCGGCGCGCCAGAGGGACGCGCTGCGGATCTCCTGCGGTGGTGGGGGGCGGGGGGTGGGTCATGGGGGGCTCCCGTCGGAGGCATCGACGGTGCCAGGGGGAGGAAGAAGATGAGATGGGTGGGGTAGGGGGCTCCAGTAGATTTGACCAAATTTCGGTCTCGGTTTTATAAACACATCGGAGTTGCATCGACAAAAGGTCGTCCTCTCTCACGTATCCCATCGCCTTGCTGCACCTTATCGGCAGGCCCAGGCCCTGAAACGTTGACCCTCAGAACAGGAGGTATTTCTACAAACTTGCGTTGTCTGGGAAATCTCAGCCTGCTTGGGGAAATGCCTTCATTGGTGGGGTGCTGGAGTCCAGCTCGGTGGGGGTTCAAATCAAACAGCAGGAGTTGACCTCGCGAGTCACAACTCGAAGGGTAGACGGGTGTCATTAATCTGGCCTTCCTGAGAATCCTGCATGAGGTCCGATTAGCAAGGTTGGCTACGTACGGTGTAAAAGAAGTTCAACATACGGTACTCATTGACAATCGCTGCAATTCATTGGGTCCAATGACAGCCAGCAGAGCGATCTAACAACACCCTACCAATGACATAACCCTGTGGACCTGCAGGAGTTGCGGATTTCCCCAAAAGATTTGTCATACGGCAACTCATCTGGGGCTTAAACCTCACATTGGTGACCCGTAATTGCCTCTTGTGGATCATTGCCCGGCCGGATTTGAGCCCAGGAATGAGTCGAGACTGCACAAACTATTGACTATTTTTATTTTATTTATTTTACCCGGCAAATTGCCCACTGAGTTATTACAGCTCTGGCTATCGCAAATGATAGCCCAAATGAAGTGGCTCATCACGCGAGGCAAATGAAGGATCGCATTTTAAGGCTGAGGTTTTTGTTTTTGCCCTCTCTCTCTCTTTTCCGCCGTAGCGGTCGTAGTGGATCCGTCGTGCGCACACGGCCATCTTACTCACGTCCAGAAGAGCCATCGGTGCTCGTGTCGCGTCGCGGCTCGCGTGCAGGTAAATTTGTCGAGCGGGCGACTTGCGGCGAGAGACGAACAGAGAGAGAGAGAGAGACCTGTGGGCCACACCACCCACGCCAACGCGCACGGGGAGCTCATTAACGCCTCCCATTGGCCAGAGTGAATCACCACCGAGCCACCGCCGTCAAATTAATGCGGACCTTTAATGATTGAGAGAGCATTCATTCTCTGCTTTGAAGTGTCACATCGGGGTGGGGAGCGGGGGTGGGGGGGTTCAGGTAGGGGGGGGGGCCCATTGTTGGGCACGCAGCAAGTGGCCTCCGGAGTTGAGGAGGCCCTGGCGTGGACACGCGCACCTCCAGCAACGTTCCCATCGCAAACCCCCCCCCAAAAAGTCGTCGTGCAAACCGCCGACGCCGCTCCACTCACCTCGTCGAGTTATTTGATAAATTCGATCGCCGCTCGGGAGAGGTTTTACTCGCGGGGCGGCACACAAAGCGCCGGCGGCGGTTCGTGTTGCGTCGCTCGACGCGTCGGGGTCGCTTGTGACAGGTCTGACGCAGGTGGTGGCACACGCCGATTAATTATTCTCGCCCATTCACATCATCCCCCTCTCGCGTTTTGTACCCAAAAGGAGTACTCGAGGTTGCCGTGGTGATGGCTCTGGATGCGCGCGCGGTGCCGTTGACGGAGGTCCACGCAGTCCCCCCTCTCCGAGCCCACGCCGCGCCTCCCAGCATCCTCTCCGCACCGGGGCAGCAGCAGCCTCACCGGCCCCAACACGCGCCACCGCACGTGGCAAGGCGCGCCAAGCTGCTGGTCTCCCCCCCACCTTGCCGGGCCTGCGGGCAGAGGAGTGCGCACGCCGTTGCTGGGGGCACCTTGTCGAGGCTCGCGATGTGGCTCTCACGAGAGCCGGCGTCCTCTCGAGAGAGGTCAACGCGGCTCACCGGAGCTGTCAACTTTTGGCCCACGACGCAGTCGCCTAACGGCGGCCGCGCGTCTTCGTGGTGAAGACGCAGCTCGCGATGGCCGCCCGCTCACGATAGCGCGTCCTGTGAAGTACTGCTCGTTGTCACATTCAAGTTACTTCGCAATTTACACCATTGGAACCTCCTTTGCCAGTAGCAAAATATTATAATTGTTTTTTTTTATCCTTTTATCTGGCAACAAAACTGACACTTTTTTTCACCCCGAGCTCTCATACTCTGATGGTGCATTGTCTGTGAGTTGTGCGCCTTTTGGCGTCATCTGGTCCAACACCATGTGAGACTAGGCTCTAAGGAAAGCTGTCTCGGGTGTGGACCAATCAATTTCAAGGACAGTGCATACATTATCAGAGTTGTGTTTTTTGTTTGCATTCCGACCGCAGGTATTGTGGTCAATGCAAACATGACTCCTTGTAAAAAAGGTGTCAGTTTTGTTGCCAGATAAAATGGTAAAAAAACAATTATTATTATTACTTTGCAATGTTAAGGAATCGCCGCATTTGTCTCCCTTGTCGCAGGCATACAACCCTTGGCTCTACACTTAGGTTTGACAGCAAGTGGGTAGATCATGGCTGCCGCTACTGACGACAGACCGACACAGCGAAGGCCCTCAGGTACCCGTCTGTGAAACAATGTGCCGTTGCGATAGCCTTGTGCTTAGAGAATGGCGGGAATGATTCAGACTCGGCCTTTATTTCAGCTGGTAAGGCCCCATTGAGCTCAGCAGCTCTTTGGTAATGACGACCACAGTCCAAGCCAGTCGGTCGTGGTGGTTGTTACATGACTGGGCACTGCAGGGTGGAGGGAACGTGCAAACTAACCAGAACGAAAACAACAACAACAACACATCTACACGGAATCCACTCCAGAACTCACTGCACACATGATAAACAATATACAGGGCTTACGTACAAATCAAAATCAGTGTCAAAACCTCCCCGTCACAGACGTGTGTAGATATACCGTGTACGCAGCCTCAGACGTAACGGAGTTTAGTCGTAGAATTAACAGTTAATATTCATTCTTATTCTGAGTTCTTGCCAGTGGAGGAATGCCCTCGCTTGGAAACAGGGCCTTAACGGGCAGCGAGCCCAACCGGCTCCGGATTGGACACTGCTTCTAAAGTTCGCCCTTATAGGTTAACATTCGGAATTTGGTGTTGATGGGCACCCAAATAATAATGGCCTTTCGTCGTGAACGACGTCCTTTTATCAATTTTCTCAATTTTGGCGAAGATGTCCGGTTCAAGGCGGTTGATAAACTTCCTTAGAAAGGAAACGCAGCCAAGTTTCTAACGAGCTGAAAAGAGACACTGTGTGAGAAATAATAATAATAAAAATGAGAACAGGGAGAAGATATACATGCTTAACATTTTCACACTGCTGCGCGTACACAAAAGCAAGCGGTAAATTTCACGAGCGGTTGAATTGGGTTTGAATACGGCCCACAAATTAACTCCGGTCACGCAGCGCAATGAAATACAATAGAATTTGAACCTATACAGCGTCTAAATTGCCACTGCATCTCAAGGTGTTTGTACAGTATGATGTAAATCACCAGGAACAGAATAGTGTGTGTGTTTATATGAATATATTTTAAATAGATGCAAGAGCAATAGACGGAAGAGGAGAGGATGATTGTGAACCTGGTTCAGCTGAACAGAGGCGTGTGGTTGGTAGTGCAGACGGCCAGTGGGAAGGAGGTCCATTAAACAATTAGCGTGGTTGGCTACGTACGGTGCGAAAGAAGTGCAACATGCATACCGTACTAAAAGCACAGAGGCACCATGACCGAAGACATTGTTCGCTGCTCTAACACTAGAAGGGGAGTAGAGTGAGTTTGTAGCAAGGCGAGTCCGTGGAGGATCTTGAAGACGGTAAGGGTGATATTGATGCCCATACTGGACATCTGCGAAAAAAGCTTTATAGCTCATCGGATTCCCCCGGTATCAATACATTTTCTGAGCCAGTTGAGTAACTGGCGTGGGGCAGGAAGTGCCGCCCAGAGAGACTGCGGGACAGGAGGCGAGGCTGCACGATTGCAGGGCTTAAGGCCCATGAGTGTTTCACGGTGACCACGTTTCTCTGGGATAGGAGTGAAGAGTCGATGTCTACGGAGGAGTGGGGGAGCTACACGCTGCCTCCGTAAATGCCATCATTTGGCTCAAGAAAACTGGAGCCAAACATCTCGACTGCTCTTTGACTTCTTCTTGGTTCTTTCGGTAAACTCACGTAGAAGGGAAATAATAAAATAATAAAAATAAAACGTAATAAAATACAATTCTCACGACGTTTCGGCCACAACGCAAGCAGCCGTCCTTAGGTGAAGAACAGGTCTGTCGGAAAGACAGCGTCTGAATGCTCTTTGACTTTTCACACTGAGCCGCACGCGAGTCGAAGAGTGTTTGTTCACTGGCGTTGTGCGTGTTTCACCAAGAGCGTTAGCTTTTAAATAGCGCCTAGCAAATTTAAACTTCGAGTTGAGCAAAGAAGGAACTTGATTCTGCTTCTCAATACTGAGTTACCCCCCTACCCTACCCACCTCTCTGTGCTTCGATTGTGCTGCTGTTACTGCTGCGTGGTCAATCCCGTAGAATGCCTGGGCCAGACCTGGCCTCAGCAAACTCCTGGCGCCAGGAGATGAGGTGGGGTGAGCACACAACACTTGAATGTCACCGAGCCGCAGTAAAAAACAATCGCGCTCTTTGCAACATTCAGCCACGGCCGCGGCCAAATCACCGTGGCTGTGTGCGGTGTCTCACCAAGACCTCAGAGGCTAAGCTGGACAGATAGGGTTAGGACTTGCATGGGAGACTACCTTCTGGAATAGCAGGTGGTACATGTAGCCTTTGAGCTGCTAAGTGCATGGCCAGGGGATGGTAGCAGAGGAATGGATTTTGAATCTATCTGTGAGGAGTTTCGAGCGTTACCTCTCACACGCGTGGGATTCTATGGGTGCCCAATTGTCATCTTCTTTCTTCCTTCCAATATTAGGAAGCCACTGGAGCCGTGCACTTTTATATCTACGTTTAAAACTCATTTCTTTAGAACTGCTTTCTGTGTTCAGTTCGTCGTCCTTCCCCCGCACCTCCGATGTGCACGGTTGGCTACGTACGGTGTGGAAGAAGTCCAATATACATGCATACGTGAAGCCAAACACTCATTATTGCAAACTGGCTAAACATCCGGGATCCTTGTGAAAAAGAGGTCTGAGGGTCAGTAAGGCTTTCTTGGGTAAATAATGGACATTATTATTCCGACGACTACTATCGGAAACCGTCTACGTAGTTCCATGGAGCCTCTTGCACAATATACGTTTGTAGCACCCAGCGAGGTCCGTAATGAAATGCGCAACCGCCTCTTGCCAGAGCGGCTCGTAATTTCTAAGAAATCAACGTCGGCAGTGTCCATTGAGGTCGCCTCTCGGCACAGTCGGTGGCACGCAAACCCAGCAACAATTACAGCAGCAGCAGCAACAACGACGACGACAAAGGCGCCAGAGACGCGGCTGTGTGCCAAACTTTGCCGCAAGCAACTCTATTCAGGGCATCGTGACGGTGACGCCAGAGGAGGGCATTTGCTGGCAAACGTGGTTGGGAACGAAACTGTTATTTGTTTTTGTTTAATCTTGTGCCACACTAACGCCTTGCACTCACGCACAACTCTCACGCTCTTAGGAAGTGTAAATCTCTCCCCTTCGTCCGCCCCTCCTCATCCTCCTCCGTCTTTTTGCGTTCGGCTGAGTTGAGAGCGACGTTAAAGATCTCGGTCTGAGTGTGAAAGCCACGCGACAGATGCAGCTGATGGCTGAGTTAACTGCTGTCGCTACTCCAGCTGCTACTGCCTCCGATGAATTTTCATAGTTGGCAGCGGCAGGGTGTGAGAAACAGACACCGTTCTGCGAGTCCCCACTGCATTATGCCCTCTCCTCGCCTGTGCCATCTCTAGCCACGTGTTTGATAGTACACACTCAGCTCCAGGAGATTTACTTAAACCCCATTATGCCCCACGGAAGCGCATCACGAGTTTGTGCACGGCATTGCTTTTTGCTATGAACGGGGCCCCATATTTTATATGGAGCGCTCGTGCCAATAACATATGGTTATCCGGCAACGTTTCCATAACACGCCTGTATCTATTGATGAGAGATGGAAGGTCACAACCTGGTCCAGAGTGTGTTTGCTTAAACATAAATGCTGCAAGGTAATATTGGTCTGGAAAGATTTATCAGTTTTCTCAGTTTAATTTATTTGGTATAGCCCTGTGAGCCATTCGGCTATTGAATCGGGTGCAACCGCAACAAACAAAAACATGAACAAGAAAACATCTTAAAGTGACTATGTGACTGTGTGCAAACAGAAAATCCAAGAAATAACGGCAAAATCCTCCAGAAAAAGCACCGTACACCAACGCTGTGTGCAAAAATCCCAGTGGGATGCAAGTCAAACAACAACAAGACAACTTAGATTAAGGCCATCAGTTTAACTCCGTACTACAACAAACAAACATGGCCAAACCAAAAAACTTTTCTAAATCACCAAAATAAAGCCATAAAAGCAATGTAACAGTGATCATAGGAACTGTGACCGAATTTTCACAATGAACGACAATAAACGACATAGACAACAATAATATGACAACAACATAGACGACAACAATAAT